GGTCTTATCTTAGTTTTGCCTCGCTGCAGGTGACGGTGGAGCGGTGCAGCCACAACAGATTTCTGCCTCTTGCAGTGGATTTGGGCAGGTGAGTTAGGGATGTTGGACCTGCTGGCTACGCGGGTCCAGAAATCTCTGCATAGTTGTTCGAATCGGGGCTCGAAGCTCTGCTCCCAGTCCAGGCTCTGCAGGTTTGCCCGCTGCAGGGAAGGCCTCCACATGGCGGCCATTTTTAATCCACCACGCGGTCTGAGACTCTGCTGATTTCGAGCTGTGCAGATATGTAGTGTGCCCAATGGGGACTGGGGTAACCCCCACTGGTCCAAAGGGGGAGTTTAACGGGGAGTCTGTGGTGGTACCTCGAACCGCGTGGTCCAAAGCGGGAGATCGGCTGCGCCCCCAGCCGTCGGATCCGCAATCCAGGTAGGCTGCAAGGCAAGACGGTAGCTTTTGGCTTCCAAGAGCAAGTAGTTTGGGATCGTTTGTGTCTCTATCGTTAAAGATGCCTGTTGTGTCACATGCTGAGCCTTCTGCCCCTATTTTTTTGCAGATTTAATAGATTTAATGTTTGTGCTGGCAGGAGCTCACAGAAACATGTCTGGCCAGCTTGCGAGTCAGGCCCCGCCCCCTAAAGTAGATAAACTATTAAAAAGGTTTTAAGAAACACATTGTTTAGTTCCCTAATCTTTGGCTGAAATGGTATATACACGACTGGGTTACCCAAAGAAATGGGGAAGTTGTATTCTCTAATGGAAGTCATCTTAAAGGGTTATTCTGAGCTTCAGAACCACTACAGCCCACTGTAAGGAATACCATGGCAACGGTTTGGCCTCTTCCCAGAGTCCCTGTGGGACTCTTTGCTCCTCTGCTTCTGTGCCTTTGGCCTTTTCAAACCATCAGATCCCAATCCAGTTACCATTCACTGGCAGAGAGGATCAGCTGACCGGTTTCAGTCAACAAATGGCACACTGTGCACGAACATACAGTATGCACAGAATTGACATCTTGATTCTTGACGGCTGTTGATACCTCCATGATGTTGCCAGAGGTAAAACTACAGACTCCAGGCACCACGACCACTTCAAATCACATAAGTTTAATTCAGTTCATTCCCAAGCTAAATTGATCTCGAATCCAAACATCAGTAATAAAAATATGCCTTGGTTTATTATAATGTCTCCAGATCCTAGAGATGTATTATCATTCAATAATACATTGCTTAACTTGATGACTATATTGTGTACAGGGCCCAAGCTTGCAGTATTTTTGAAAAAAGACTCTTTCCTTTAAAATGCATACATATTACAAGACTATTATATTTAATTTAATTTAATAATTTATTTAATAAACATACATATTTTAAAGTATCCAAAGAAGGGGCGGAGTTTGACCTTGAGAAGTAGCAGACACCATCTCACTTCATTCCACAAGAAACATTCTGAAAAGTTAGATTTTTGGGGACCACCCTGTGCACCCACACAGCTTTTAGCCGAAACTCTGGAAGCCATACCGTGACTATATGCATATACGTGAGACACCTTGTGGCCTCTATCCTCCCACCTCCTCAAGCCAAAAAGTTCTCCCTTGACGGTGTTAATTGCCTCTCTAGATCTGGCAGGGCACCTACTTCCACATTGATGACAGAGAAGTCATCAGCCGCTGCTCGCTATCGCAAGAAAAAAAATTATTTTACTCATGGCCTTGAAGGACAAGACACCATACACCTTCAAAAGCTCCAACCTCATATTTCATCAGGATCTCACCTGGTCTACCTTACAGTGCCGGCAAAGGCCTAACCCTACTACGATCCAACTGCGAGGGGGTGGAGTTGCTTACCAGTGGCAACTAGGTTCCACATGGTTTCACATAATGGGACAGAACACTATATATCCACTCTTGCTGAATCCCCTACACTCCTTTGGGCTTTCGACCTACCTGTCCCTCCTCTTGATTCTGCTCATTAGCCAAAACATGCATGTCTGGTACCCATCCCAAATTGTCCTATTCATCCCTACAGGTCATCAGAACCCGCAATCAGTGACGTATGCAGCTCGATTTCTTCTGTTTATCGGTTAATTTTTACCTTTATATCTCTAGTTCATATCATTATATACCATACAAAGCCAGTGGCGTACATACCGCGGTCGCAGGGGATTCAGGGGGTCCGGCCGCCCTGTGGACCCCTGCGACCGGTATCCGGCGTCTTTTGTGGCACCGGCGCCACAGTCCAAGGGGTCCATCAGGTGGCCCATGCTGTTAAGGCCACCCGATGGCTATGGATTGTCAGGGGGCCTGGTCATCACTGGGCGATTTACAACGCGACCAGGCCCTCTGTGATGACATCACATGCTGGGAGGAAGTGACTGCCCGTCACTCCTCCCAGCTAACACACAGAGCCCGCGAGGGAGGAAGCAGAGGGAGTTAGAGTCCCATCAACCTGAGCCACCACTGGATCCCAGGGAAAGTCACCCTCCTGCACCTAAAAGGTAGGAAACAGGAGGGTGTATAAACATTGTGTGTGTGTGTCTGTATGTATGTATGTATTTATGTGTGCCTTTAAAGGGACAGTTCCATCCCAAGCGCACAGCCCAGCCATACACGAGACATGTGAGAGCAGAGACTACAGACCGGATTGGATGAGGATCATTCCCCATTACTACTTTGATTAAGAGATATTCTTTTGAACACCTCGCCTACAAACAAGCAATTGAACAACTTACTGCTAGTGAACAGATTCAATTCTATGGTCCACATCTACAGCATATACAATATGTGGTGAGATCCAACCATTTTTCATCATTCAATACAGCACTTTTTACAGTCTGTTGAACACTTTAGTTTTTTCATCTTTCTAATTTTTTGGTCAGTGTTTTCTTATTTTTCTTTTTGTCTTTTTCTTATTTTTTGTCCTTTTTTATTTTTTAATTTTTGCCTCTTTACCCCAGGATAATAATGGATCCACCTGAATATTTATGAATTTTCTACCTCATGCATATGGTGTTTATGGTCTGTATATACACTGCTCAAAAAAATAAAGGGAACACAAAAATAACATCCTAGATCTGAATGAATTAAATATGCTTCTGAAATACTTTGTTCTTTACATAGTTGAATGTGCTGACAACAAAATCACACAAAAATAAAAAAAATGGAAATCAAATTTTTCAACCCATGGAGGGTCTGGATATGGAGTCAGACTCAAAATTAAAATGGAAAAACACACTACAGGCTGATCCAACTTTGATGTAATGTCCTTAAAACAAGTCAAAATGAGGCTCACTAGTGTGTGTGGCCTCCACGTGCCTGTATGACCTCCCTACAACGCCTGTGCATGCTCCTGAGGAATCTCCTACCAGACCTGGACTAAAACATCTGCCAACTCCTGGACAGCCTGTGGTGCAACGTGACGGTGGATGGATCGAGACATGATGTCCCAGATGTGCTCAAATGGATTCAGGTCTGGGGAACGGGCGGGCCAGTCCATAGCATCAATGACTTCATCTTACAGGAACTGCTGACACACTCCATGAAGTCTAGCATTGTCTTGCATTAGGAGGAACCCAGGGTCAACCGCACCAGCATATGGTCTCACAAGGGGTCTGAGGATCTCATCTCGGTACCTAATGGCAGTCAGGCTACCTCTGGCGAGCACATGGAGGGCTGTGCGGCCCCCCAAAGAAATGCCACTCCACACCATTACTGACCCACTGCCAAGCCGGTCATGCTGGAGGATGTTGCAGGCAGCAGAACATTCTCCACGGCGTCTCCAGACTCTGTCACATGTGCTCAGTGTGAACCTGCTTTCATCTGTGAAGAGCACAGGGCGCCAGTGGCAAATTTGCCAATCATGGTGTTCTCTGGCAAATGCTAAACGTCCTGCATGGTGTTGGGCTGTAAGCACAACCCCCACCTGTGGACGTCGGGCCCTCATACCACCCTCATGGAGTCTGTTTCTGACCGTTTGAGCAGACACATGCACATTTGTGGCCTGCTGGAGGTCATTTTGCAAGGCTCTGGCAGTGCTTCTCCTCTTCCTCCTTGCACAAAGGCAGAGGTAGCGGTCCTGCTGCTGGGTTGTTGCCCTCCTACTGCCTCCTCTACATCTTCTGATGTACTGGCCTGTCTCTTGGTAGCGCCTCCATGCTCTGGACACTACGCTGACAGACACAGCAAACCTTCTTGCCACAGTTCGCATTGATGTGCCATCCTGGATGAGCTGCACTACCTGAGCCACTTGTGTGGGTTGTAGACTCAGTCTCATGCTACCACTAGAGTGAAAGCACCACCTACATTCAAAAGTGACCAAAACATGAGCCAGGAAGCATAGGAACTGAGAAGTGGTCTGTGGTCACCACCTGCAGAACCATTCCTTTATTGGGAGTGTCTTGCTAATTGCCTATAATTTCCACCTGTTTCCTATCCCATTTGCACAACAGCATGTGAAATTGATTGTCACTCAGTGTTGCTTCCTAAGTGGACAGTTTTATTTCACAGAAGTGTGATTGACTTGGAGTTACGGATCAGTTTCGCACCGGGGCCCCATATATTGTGTACGCCACTGTACAAAGCCTTACATTACCAACGCCGTATGTAACCTTTTAAGAGGTAGCGCTGTACCTGGCTCCTTATGCTCTGAAACACTGATAAGGGTGTTGCCCGCCCTCGTAGGTTTTTAGTCCCGCACATCTATGCTATCCACCTCCCCATCCTGCAACCCCCATGGTTAGGGGTCTACTGGCAAACAGCCTGGTTATACTCTCACAGATGGTACCGTGAATGATACTCCCTAATTCCCACAATCTAGTGAATTAACTACCATGTTGTAACTTTGTGTCAGGCTGTTTGGTGCTTGCCATTCAATCGCTTATGCATGTGACTTTATCCAAGCATGATTATTGTCATACTTTGCATATTTGCATATTTGAATATGTATTATGATTACTGTCAAGCAAAGATGTAAAAATTAATTTTAAAAAATCCAAAGAAAAAGTATTGTTTTTCCAGTTTTATTACAAACTCATGTCAAAACAAATTGCTTTGAAAGAAGACAACGTACAATAATTTTATTACTTTTCAGTAGACAATTTTCAAATTGAAATGTGATATTATTTAGGACTAATTAAAAACAAACATTCTTTAACAAAAAAACAAAACGAGACCCCCAGCCCTCTCCCTATACAATTTTCTTTTAGCTGGCTAACTGCTTGGGATCGTGGAACATTTTTGTTAACACGTGGGTTTTGCTAACTGTAGTAGAATTCTTTAAACATTAAAACCATATTTAAACTCTAAAATATTCTTTGTATGTACAGATGTGTTACGCATATAACATCAGTTTTGGTATACAAGTATGCCAGTCAACCCGACAACCATATCATCATATTGGGAAGATTCAAACTACACTGTCCTGTATGATGCACACAATCAAACAGAATCTACGATGTCCACTCCTGAATGAAATGGTTGCCAATATTGCACAGGTTAAAGAAAATAAAAATATGGAGGGTTTCATATATTGCCATTTTAAGTTAAATGTGGCAACATTTTTAAGAGCAGACTGGGCAACAATTTGTTTGCAAACCCAAAATGTTTCCCATGGGGTAAAGGGACTATACAAACATGCACATACTTTGTCATGTTGAAGGTGCTGATCATACATCATAAAGTTGACATTTTCAGTTGAATACCCTGGGACAGAGTGCATGCTACGGTTTTGGCTAACATTGAGTGTGAATATTGTAATTTTGAACTCAGGTCTAATATTTGTGTTTCTATCTGCTTTTCTTTAGTGCAGTCTTGTCACAGTGCTGCCAACTATGTGTTACCTTCAAAACTGTTAACAGGTTTATTCGTGGGGATTTGTAAGAAAGCTCACTTCTATCTCATTTGAGATTTATCCTTTCGTCTGCAAGGTAACTGAATGCAGGACTTCCCCTAAGACGTTTACGGTTTTATTAACAGGTTAGCATAGACCTCTGCTGAAAAACTGTAGACTGGGAACTTTGAAAGTACACAACTTTTGGAGTCCCTGCCCCCAAGTCTGCATTGCTTATTTTTGGGACTTGAAGACACTGCAGTTAGAGGAGATACCTAGAAAGATGGGATTCTGAGTGCAAAGATATTTGTCAATATTCATCTGTCAATTAATTGTTGCAGCTTTAATGCACACAGTGAAGTATAAATACTGAAATAATAAAAAAAAAAATCCTACTAGAACTGTCAAAAGCAGAGCATGCACATGAAAGTCTTTTATAGTAGCAATAGTGTTCTAGATTATGGGCATTAAAGGAACACTCCATACCCTTAAAGCATTTTCACTTAAGTACTTAATGTCCCCCCCTCACCCCCCACCATTTTACAAAAAGTATAGAGTCAATAAAAATTGGCACATTTATAAATTAACCTGGTTACACAACAGGTCCTGTTACTTCCTGGTAGTTTAGCTCAGTGGAGCTAAACTTAAGAGGCAACAATTACCCAGAGCACCTGCCTTGCAAAGATTTCTCATTGAGCTACATTGGGAAGTCTGCGATTGGACAGCCACAGAAAGTCTATGCGGGATCAGAAGTGGAGGGTTTACAAAGATCTGCAGTTTTTTTAATTTTATTTTTAGCTTTTCCCCCAATGGAAAAAAAATGCATTGTTAAATGTATGAATGTTTTCATTGTGATTATATTTACTAATCATGGCTAGATTACTCTGTCTTCTTGTGGGTACCTCTATTAGTAAGGAAGGAATTGCAACCTCCCCTTCTCGTACAAGATGATTATCAAACTAGGTGATGTATGAAGTCCAAATCTTTGGTCTATAACAGGGAAGTCTATGCAGACTATTTACACCTTTGATCATCTTCCATGGCTGCAAATCTAGGGATTTAGCTTGACAAACTGAATAATGTAAAACTAACCTGTTTAGATGAGTAGGCATTTGCATACAATTTTGCATGGTAACATGACATATGGGAGAGAGAAAACACATTTGAAATAATTTAAACTTCATAAGATACCTTTGAGTGCTGTTTGCACCATATACATTCACATTGTAAACATGACGTTTGGAGTCACCTAGTTTGCAAATACTACATGCTTAAATAATTGGTTTTATGAATGAGACACTGCTGCAACAAAAAAAAATGACTTCATACTTAAAGAACTGTTACAGTAGCATTTCCCAGAATTAAAACAGCTGAAAAAGTAATAATTACTGCATAGTTCTGTTAAAACAAAAAACGAAAAACATAGACACACAAAAAACAGGCTTACAAAATATAGTAGTGTTGTTGAATCTCAAGAGGCACTTTTGTTGAGAGGAGTTCATGGGAATAATTCATAGAATCTAATTGAAACATTAGTCTATATTAATAGGACACTACCTCCAAAACAAGATGCTAATAAAAAGGATAAAAAATTAAAACAAACCAGAACCAACATGTAATAAATCTTAAGCAGCATATACCATGATGAAATGGAGTTTGTTGACAGTTTCCACCATAATATACAAAATGGTATCTTAAAATTGGGACATTATTGGAAATTTAAAACATTTAACAACTGTGTACATTACAGGGAAAACATATAGCCAATAACGTTCAACTCTTTTTGAAGAATTCACCTTATGTGATTTTTAAAAACACATTTTCAAAAGCATATTCCAGACGGTGTGAAGTAAATTAAAAGGCATCCAAGAACCAAAGTTTTAAAAGGCAGTTCTCCATACATGGCGTAGTCCATTGTTTCCAGCGTTACTGCATATGAAAGTTTTTATTTTTATTTATTATTTTTACTTTCTTCCTCTTCCTTTTACTCAGTATAATTTCCAATAGGAATCCCTTGATAAGGCTCCATATTAAAATGTCTTGGATATTTATTCACAATTCATCCTAAATAAGATTTAAAAGAAAAAAAAAAAAAAATCATGAGTTTTGGCTGCAGAAGTCACTATTTAAATAAAGTAAACAGCATAGCAGAAAAAAATAAAAAAATAAAACCCCGCAATTCTATATGGTTAAGAATACAAATCTATAGTCCTAACACTAAAGCGCTTTCTAGTCCCCCACCTTCCATCAGACAAATGGTTACAACAATAAAAAAATTAACCTGGCACTCCGCCTACTTTGATGTCATCAATCAGGGGGACCCTTAATACGCATGTGTGCAAGGAGTGAGGATCAGGCCCTCCCCGTAGGAAAGCATTGCCTCAATGCTTTCCTATGGGGATTTCATGAATGCTGGATGCGTCAAAGTGAAATTTGAAATTTACAGTCAGAATTGCTGAACTAGAAAAATTCTCTAAGTCAAAATCACTTTGAATTCTCGCTACAGTAAATAAACCGGACACATTTTGATGAATGTTTTTGTGATAAATACCAAAACCCTTCCTATTCACTTTAAATGTAATAAATATTACAGTCTAATTGCGCAATTTACTATTACAGATAATCAAGTTATTTTCCTTCAATATATTTTAGTTGGATTTTCAATAAAAGTAAAGCATTTGGTAAAATGATGATGTGTGGGAAATCGTGCAATCAAGTGCCACATAAACATTGAAACACTTCCCGTCTATATAATTAGACAAATATTAAAATCTTACCTTTTTCTTGGATTGCCTTTTAATTGTTTCTATCCGTGCAGTTATGATTCTGGCTATTTCTTGAGGATCTCTAGTATCTATATGTTCACCATGAGCATTTTTCTATTAAGAAAATAAAGCAAAACAATCCACAAAGCAGTGTAAGGATTAAATGCAATTACAAACGAAAGCAGGGATACAATGTATCTATAATAAACTGCTTATACAAACTAGCAGTACAGTTGCCAACTCCATGTGGAGGAAAACCAAAGCTTTGTAATGTTTATGAACCAAAATAATTCCACATATCGCAATAAACTAGAACACAAACACAACCCCAAAAAAAATAATAATAAATAAACGTGTAGAGGAATGAGCGGTAAAGGATTAGAGCCAGTTTGCATTTATTTACAAATCAGACTTCACACTATAAGTTGTCTATTCAATTCTGCTACCACTGTAACAATGCAAGGTGTCCATGTTTGTAGACACATCCCATCATAAACAGAACGTAATGTTTTCATCTTAGCAAACCTCAAGGAATGCTGGAGGTACGTTTGTTGTTTCCACAACTAAGGTACCAAGTATCCTTCTTTCTTAATTATTGGGGTGTCTTATCACTGCGTCAGGAGTTTGTTTCTTGCCTCTTGAACTTTGCTCAATAGAAAGCAGAGATGAAATATGTCAAATATTGTTGTGCCAACATACGTTTAATAGCCTAGGCACATTACCCACAAAGGAGAGCAATGGTTAAACTCCATTTTCTTGTAGCAAGCCATATGAGCATTCCATGCTCAAAAAGTGCTATACAGCAAGTTCTAGAGATATGGTGTTATAGGAATGAAGACATATAGAGATATTATAGAAATATTATTTTTTTTAGCTGGCAATATCTGAACTGAGAAAAAAAATATTACTATTCTCCCTGAAAGGGACATGGTGTTTGTGGAATTTACGAAGTATCTTAATTGAAAGTGGGAAAGGGAAAATAGGAACAGCTGCCACAAGGTTGGGTCCAGACCTAGAGAGAAGTGTGGAAAATGGGTAGGCGAGTGCAGGAGAGAGGGGAATGATTACAGGCCATACTTTTGCACCATAATGTCTCCTCAAATTAAATATATATATATACACACACACACACACACACACACACACACACACACACACACACACACACACACACACACACACACACATACATATACATGAAGCAGCTAAATTACCTCTTAATTTCAAACACATTAGTTAAGCAAACACTTCCAATATTATTTAATTTTAGTTCAGGCCACTTTCTCTAAACACACATCACTGTCTGTCTAGCAGAATATTCTTATCAACTTTTAAAGATAAACTTTCACTAGTGAGATTTCTGCATAAAGTAGTAACGGACTAAAAGTTAGCTTTTTTTCCCCCCTTACATCTCACTTTAAAGGTACACTATTTAAAAAAAAAAATGAGGTATTGATGTTTTGGGTGTTTCTTTATGGATTTTTAAAGTGGAGTGAATTAGGTAGTCCTCCTGGGTGTCATCTTGATGGCTAAATCAATTCATAAAACGGCAGTTTCTCTTAAACCAAGCACTTCTATGGGCTCATACAAGGGGGAACTCCTTAACCAACTTCTTTAGTGCTGACGATTTACCTCCCTCTCCCTAGACATGGGCAACAAATCATTTTTCCCTGCCTTGTGTAATGTCCCCAATACTTAAGTTAACCTGTACTTTGCCATGGAGTCTAGCAGCAGTTGGGAAGACATTAAGGATTGGGATACAATTCCATCACTGCTGCTAACTTTTCTAGATTTTGCTGGGAGCCACCCATGTTTCATTTGCTCAGGACTCTAGCAATTAAAATGCAACGTAAACTCTGGAAAAAATAACTAGAAATGTACTATTAGAGGCCAGGACAGAAGAAATCACACATTTCTAGTTCAAAAAACGAAAAATGCAGAAGCCAGAGTGGGGAGAAAATGTCTAAATTATTTGGGCCAAAACAGGCTTCATATCCAGGCGTCAGCCCATGAAACTACCCCTTATCAACTGTATAAATGAGAACATTTTGGAGTTTATTAAAATGTAAAAGGGTTATGCAAATTAATGCTTAACTTGGCTACTAAATTCTCTAATTAGTAGCCAAGTTAACTATCTTACTATAGTGTAAAATTTGTTAAGCCTTGCAAAACTGTATTGAGTAAGGCATATTGTCACGTGAAGCACTAGTGACCTCTAATGGTATAAAAAAAATTTTTTTTAACAAATAAGATCAATTGCCATAATTCAATATATATATGCTCTTTTAGTTAAAGGCAAAACAGCTCTGAAGAAGTTATTGTTTAGAGGTCAAAAACAAACAAACATTGAGTATTTAGTCGAAAGCAAGTGTTAGTACATTACCTTTTTAGATCCCTGATATGGGTAAAATTTAACAGTAGGATAAGCTCTGATGGCAGCTGATTGGCAAAGATATCCATGAGCCTGACAGTCGACTTTCCCAGCCTTCACTTTACCTTTAACTGCCTTAAAAAGAAATACAATCATTTGTAATTTCGTTATGCCATCTTGGATTAGCCTAGAGCAGAGGTGCCCAAAAAGGTAGATCTCCAGATGTTTTAAAACTACAACATACATGATGTCTTGTCATTCTAAAGGCATGCAAAGTATCATGGGAGTTTTAGTTTTACAACATCTGGGGATCTACCGTTTGGGCACCCCTTGCCTAGAGCCTAAGTACAGTTATTGACAAGTCCCTTAATACATTTTGCTGGGAGATGAAAACAGTTATGGGTAAAAAGTGCTTTTGCAATGCTAGGGAGAGAATTTATGCTGTGCCAGAATTTGTGGTTTAGGCAATATCCTCTTACAGAGTATACATTCAGTGGCATTAACTAGACATGTTTTTTTTCAACGTGAGAAAGAATTCCAATCGTTTACATCTCTTTTAAATAGAGAACATCTGGATCTGATATTTAATAAATCATTACCTGTACTAAAGTGTCAAACTGTGATCTTGACGATTTACTTTGAATAACTCTGCCAACACTTACGGCAATTCACACCAACTATATGCCTATGTAGTTTGAGCCAAAGAATTAAGTAGCTAAAACCCAAGACAGTTAGTTGCCCTATAAAAATTCATCATTCTCAGTGCCGAGTCACTACAGATTTTATCCTATTGCAAAAAGTTCTTATAAAGCTCTCGGCAGAGGGAAATTAGAAGTTTAATGTAGGTCTGCAGAGTATCAGCTCACAAAGGATCCCATAGAGTTTAAAATGTGAAACTACCTGCATTGCACCCCTGTTCCCATAATTATTGGGTGGGGGGGAGGAATTTATATAAAACTCTAAGCACCATAACCACTACACAGCTCAGTGCAGAAATTATGGTGTCAAGAGCACCTTGGCACTGCCTAGGTGTCATGTGGTAAATCTTATTAGTAGTCATTTGCTTGGAGTGTTTCTTTAATATTATGGTGCTGCCTAAAGAACAGGCAACATATATGTAATATGAATGCTTACCCTAGCTAGAACTTCAAAGTCTGGAGCAAAACTTCTACATGGGCCACACCACGGGGCGTAGAAATCCAGGACCCAATGATCTTTTCCATTTAGCACCTTATCATTGAAAATTTCTGGTGTCAGGTCAATAGATACTTTAGGCAAATGCCTGAAAAGCAAAGAGAGTTGGGGGTGAGATTATACACACCAACACATGTGTTAAATGTTAAGTTTAAACATCACATAAAGAAGAAAGAAGAAGTGGAAAATATTCTATTTGTCTTCAAACGTTTAAAGAATAAATGTATGGCCAAAGAAAACACACTTTCTACAGAAAGCTTGTGCCAAAATACATTACACACATCTGTTCCTCAGCACAAAAGGAGAGTGAGATAGAATTTAGACATCATTGCTAAATGTGATAAATAGGCTGTATTAGAAAAGACTGAGAATACAACAATTTTGTTTCAGGGAAATGTACTGGTATTGACAGGATCAGAATAATAAGCTCCAAATTAAATAATTCCAGAAAATCCAACAGTTCTTTAATTCCAGTCTTCTACATAAAGACAGGATATATAATTTGACATACTGCTACACATGGAGCACAGACTCTTGCTTGCGCGTTTTACACAAGTAAAATAAAAAGACATGCAGAGATTTTTTTCCCATCACAAATAATAATTACACCGATAGAAGCACTTTCTACATGCAACTTGGTAAACCAACAGGAAGGATTGCAAAATAAAAATTAAAGAAAGACAAAAATAAACCTGTGTAAAACTTACCCAAGTGCCCAAGTCTTGAGTGAATGAGCATCTCTGTGCCATCCATTATATTGGCTGAAAAAGTTAAACAAAGTAATGAAATAATGAACACAGATCACACATAATGGCCTTATTTTAAAAGTTAGTACATCGTTTACACAATGACCAGAGGTTAGGATGGTACAGTGTTCTATTTAAAATACTGCGAAATATCAATGTGATAGCATATAGCCAAGGGTTGGTCAAAAGGCAGATCTCAAGATATTGACTTACTATAGCTCCCATCATGACAAAACACTGTAAGAGATGCTGTTATAAAACCTTTGTGGATCTAATCTATTGGCCACCCCTTCTATTACCTATTATGGTCACAAACTACAGTGATCTTCTTGTCATTTGCAATAACTGGAATTATTAGCAGTTATTACTCCATTGCAATATACCACATAGTAAAGGATGATACACAAGATATGTTAAAGGACCACTCCACACCCATAAAGCACTTCAGCTTTATCCCACAATAACAACATTTTATTAAAGTGTTGATCTCTATTAGAAATCAGCACTTTTATAAATAACTGATTGACAGCCAGAATGGTGCTTCATTAAAGGACCACTATAGTGCCAGGAAAACAAACTTGTTTTCCTGGCACTATAGTGCCCTGAGGGTGCCCCCACCCTCAGGGTCCCACTCCCGCTAGGCTGAAGGGAGAGGAAAGGGGTTAAACACTCAACTTTCTCCAGCGCTATGGACTCTCCTCCCACTTCTGATGTCATCGGCTGAATGCGCATGTGCGGCAAGAGCCGCGCGCGCAGCCAGCCAGTACATAGGAAAGCATTCTCAATGCTTTCCTATGGACGGCAGCATCTTCTCACTGTGAAAATCACAGTGAGAAGTGCGGAAGCGCCTCTAGCGACTGTCAATGAGACAGCCACTAGAGGCTGGATTAACCCTAAAGTAAACATAGCAGTTTCTCTGAAACCGCTATGTTTACAGCAGGCAGGGTTAATCCTAGATGGACCTGGCAACCAGACCATTTCATTGAGCTGAAGTGGCTTCTTAGTGAGATTCCTCTAAAAGGTTATTTCCCTGTGAAGAGGCTGAAAGTCTCTTCCGGGAAAGAGCTGCTTGCAAAAGTAGTAGTTCATAAAAACTGCAGCTTTTACAAACAGTTTTACAATATATCCCCAATGAATACATGCAGGAAAATGCAGGCATGTATTCATTGGGGGTAAATCTACTAAATAAATAGTGATTTCTATTATTTTTTTTTTTGCCCATTTGAGCAAAGCAGTCTTCCTTTAAGCTAGGCGCCCCATGGAATTATTTAAGTTCTTTGAGCTTGTATTGGCTGCTGCTCTACGGGTACCGACTGTTTTTTTTTTTTTTTTTCTAACGTTAAGAGAGAGTGAGAGAAACATGAAATGCTGCAGTTTTCACACGTACAATCCCATTTTCTTTGTTCATGGATAAGTGATGTAACACCATGCCAAGGGCAGCCTGCAGTCCAATTATTGTTGGTACCCTAAAATAGATGGTTATAATTCCTACATTTTGTGCAACATTGGAGGTCAAAAAGGTAGATACCCAACTGTTGTAGAACTACTCACATGATGCTTTGCCATCCATAATGGCTTACATACAAATATAAAATCAATTGAAAGGAATACTCTGAACCAAAACAACTGTAGCTCAATGAAGACGTTTGGTGTATAGATCATGCCCCAGCAATCTCACTGCTCTTTAGGACTTACATTGCTTTTGTTTCCGTTGATGCATCCCAAGCCAGTCAGTCAGTCGGGGGGGAGTGAATGGACTCGATCATTTCAGCATTACATTAGCATTTCAGAGATTGATAAAGAATGCCAGGATTGACAATAGATGTGTTTAATACCTTTCTTTTAGAAATACAGGATTTAACCATTTCCTGTATGTGGGCACTAGGCTCAATTGCAGACATTTGTTTTACATTCTGTGGCTGTGTTAAGTAAGCTGTACTGCTAGTAATGCCTTCAGCATTCTTATGAATACCTATAAGCAATGCATTGAACCATTTTTATCTACTTTGCTCACATCTACTGTATGTGAGAAGAACTAACAGTTTTGCCTTAATACCAACATTTCAGACACTTACATAAAATATTGCAAGATAAAGTACTCTGTATAGTGTCTCAAGCTGTTCATTTCCCCAAAAAGTGCTTGGCAGTGAAGGGGTTAAGTGGTCTTTCAAGCAAAAAAAAGAAAAAGAAAAGTATAATTCTGCCATAAGGTGATGTGTGCAGATTTTTCAAAAACGCATTTGGAAGGCCAGTATTGGTCTCTCCACAGGTCATAAAGCATTACAGAATTGCACTCACACGTAATGATTTGGCGAGTCCATATTTGCTGGGTAGATTCTTATCTCAGGATATGCTTGCACCCTCTCTTGGCTGCAGAGATAACCGTATTTCTGACAGTCAACACTCCCAACGCTGATCATGCTATTAATATTCTGGAGAAAAAAAACAAAAACCCAAAACACAATATTGATGGTAATTATAATAATAAAAAAAAAATTAAAAAAAAAAAAACCAAAAAAAAACTTCAGTCTAAAAATGTGTGTGTAAAATCTGTTAAGGTTTTGCCATTGCAAGAGGGTCCTTTAAGCAGGGATCTCAATCTTTGGGCCCCCCAGACTTTGTTATTTTAGAACACCTGAGGGCAGAATTTGAGATGCAAGCCTTAAAGGCTAACACCCCAATCAATGCAACTAGTAGCTAATCTGGCATCCTCATGTTCTCCATTATTACAGCTGAAGAGATTCACACTTTCTTATTTTACAATATTAATGTATGATCACCATTAGATCATGTACTTTATAGATACTCGTGTTGCTGTACAACTCTTAAGAGACTTTCTATGAGAAAGCCAGTAAAGCTTGCGGGCTGCAAGGAGTTTTATTTATGAATAATAAAAAAAATAAAATAAAAAATAAAATCGATAAATTAAGTGATTTTTTTCCAAATTAATATTAGCTGTGGATTATAAAACTAATTGCAACTACATAAATCGTATAAACCAACTGTGGAGACTACATACACTATGGGGATACGTACAGTTCAAAACACAAGGGGAGACAACTAAAGATCCTAAACCTCATACAATACTTGGTCTTCACAGATCATCATTTAATTATTTTATACATTCACACCATAATGTTTCTTCTCCCCCCCCCCATTTACAGCTGCAGATGTTGATTACTCAACTCATTTTGCATAGGTTCCACTTATCAGACTGTGATCAATGCATACATATTTATGTAATTTACAGGTCTGAAAAGTCAAGAGACAGCCAAGAAAATGCACATTTCATACCCTCGCCATCCGTTTCCATTCTGGCATTAGAGCTTGGCATGGTCCGCACCACGGAGCATAAAAATCTATCACCCAAATTTCATCTTTCTTCCTCCATTTAACAAGTTCTTTGAAAGTTTCTGGTGTGAGTGTAACAACGGATGGATGTTGAAGATCCTAGACAGCAAAAAAGATTTAATTTAATCAGAAAATACTTTAATTTTTTTCATATTACAGCTATTTCCAAAACCAATGCATTTCACATAGCTCAAGACTGAAAGAGAGCGGAATTCGGGGGGTAGCTTTGCACTTTAAAGTTGATCTTCTCTTTTCCAATTTAAATTCAAGTCTGTCAAACTGCAACTTTGATTATATTAAAATAGAAATGATTGACGAACGCCAACTGCTGTATTATTAGATAAGACATAGTTAGTGTGTTTACTTAGCAAAAGTGTTGTTCTGCTGGTTTTCCTGCATACCAGACTGTTAGATTATAGGCAGCCTTGGAAATTTCATCTTTTTAGCACTTTAGCAAAACGAGACAGAGAACAGCAGGTAATATACAGCAAAAGATCTTAAACAGGTCTCAGACATTTTTCACCTGTAGAGAACAGCAATAGACCTTATATAAAGCATTTGTGGGGCAAAGTGCTAAACCTTTAGTAAGAACCATGAAAACCAATTGAGTAGTCTTAGAGATTGTTCAACTTTCAGCAGGAAATTAAAGGGACACAATAGGCACCTAGACCACTTGAGCTCATTGAAGTGGTCTGGGCACAGTGTCCCTATTGCACTTAGTGCTGCAATGTAAAACATTGCATTTTCATTGCAACACTAAGACTGCCTCCAGTGACGGTCTCCCAGACAGCCATTGGAGACGATTCCTGGATCCTAACAGACGTTTGGTCTGGTAACTGGCGCTGGACGTCCTCATGCTCTGCAGGAGGACATCCAGCATCAGCTATTTCCCTATAGGAAAGCATTGATTTATTGCTTTCCTATGGGGAGGCCTAATGCATGTGCGAAATTTGTCGCACATTCGCATAAGCGTCCACTCGGCAGAGCCGTGACCCAGCTCGAGGGACATCGGCGCTGGGTCCAGGTAAGTAAATGGTTTTTAACTCTTTATTCACTAGCGCGGGGGGTGGCACTAGAGAGGTAGAGGGAGCTATAGTATCTCTTTAAGACACACATACACAGTATTTAATAATTTAAATAGAGCTACACAAACATCTGTAATTTTTCAGGAAAAACCAATACATACCTGTATGAACTCTAAAATCTGCTCAGCATTGTGATGTCCTTCATATTCATAGGTGTTTGACTGGTTGAAAACGACAGTGGTTGGATACGCTCTAATATTATGCTGTATTATTGAACAAGAATAAAACAAAATATATGCAGTTAAGGAATAATACAACCTTTTTAAAAAACACTATATGAATTAATGAAGATGCTGTTAGAGGCCTGATTTGGGTATTTTGTTTTTACTTGTATTATTAAATTCATAAATGCTAAAGAATGTCTGGTGGCCATCTCAAATACAATATAATACCATCTGAATTCCCTGAGTAATACTTTATTATATATTTGTATCTGCATCCATGAAAACATTTACTAAAGTATAGCAGACTTGGGAGGAGAGTTGTTCCTCTTGATTAGAGAGCAAGTCTCTGAGAAACCAGAAGATGAATGACCACTAGGAGAGACACCTTCATCCTATCCCACACATTTTTCACCCTTTAACAATCCTTGTTTCACCATTGTCATTTTGGTATAATTTTTTCTTAGTTTAAATGATTGGGTAAATCAGGGCTTGACAAATTTGCTTGGAATCTAGGGGCCAGCAAAAAAAGTTAGGAGCCGGGTTTTTCAATGTCAAAAATACAATTTTTAAAGGGACCCTATAGTCCCTGGGTCAGTGCTGCACAGTACCTACGTATAGTGTCTCCACGCCCTTTGATTATTGATCTCCAACTATTAATATAGGAATCAGTAAGGCACCACGACCTTTTTTCAAAGCACACACTTATTCATCCCTATCACAAAAATAGGTTTGATGTGTTTTTTGGAAGAAAAAAAAAAAAAAAAAGATCCATCATAATAATAAAATGGGAAAGCCATCCAAATATCACCATTCTAGAATTCTAAAGAGCTGTGCAATATGCTGGCATTGTATAAATGCCAATAATACATTTGCCAAGAACCTTCAAGAGAAGTGAAAATGGAAACAAAAGAGCTGCACTGGAGAATTCTTCCTTTTTGACTATTTTGGCATAAAATGTTACGTTCTCAGTGGAATAACCCCAATTGATATGTGAGGAGTTTAAAAGCCAATTTGTTATTGTAAGGGAAAAATTGAGCTGGGAAAATTCTCCAAAAAGAAAAGAAAAATTGGAGATTCCCGTGCTGATAAATATTAACACCAATGGAGCACAAATAAATTAAAACGTCACTTTTAATAAATCCTATAAAAAGTCCCTTAATCATAAGGGCTCTACACTCACTTTTGTGATAAACACGTGTTGCTACACCACATCTAAATGTAAATCACTAAATTAACGCTAAAAATTGTGATTTCACTAGAGGGAAAAAAATGCCCACTCTAAGATATATAAGTCTGGTTTAGTGAAATCTTTCTCAATAAATAGTGCTAATAACTAAACTGTTAATAACACAATTCTAGGGTGAACCCAGACTCTACTGTAATAAATTTACCAAAACATAATCTGAATTATTGGCGCTCCAATTATGGATAAATGTAACCTCAACTTCTGGTAAGATAGATTACTAGATACTCGTATGCTTACATATTAAGGTAGCTGCTCAGACTGCTAGAACTAATAATCCTTAGTGCCCAAATTAACATTGTTGCTAATTTCTGTTAGCAGAGTTATCCTGAGTATAACCATATTATTTAACCCTGGGTACAATTTGATTGGTCAGCATAGCTGCTTGTATAGTTTGTTAGCTGTTGGACGTGGGAAGAGAAAGAGGAGGATACAGTAATGAACAGTAATCCCCTTTGTTCGACCTGTGGGGCGGTATTTGTAATCAGATGGCTATCTAGCCTGTCCCTTCAAATCCCACGATACAGCCTTAATGCAGCAAAGCTATTAAAGAAAGATAGATTGACTATCTAATTACAATTCCGAATTTAAGTCTGCTCAGCATAGAGGTTCTCTCTTAGGGTTAAAATCGTCTATGTTGACGCCCCCTCCAATTCTCGAACGCTAATGCGTGAATTTCCTCTATACTGCGAATAAATAATATTTCAAAGTCTAGAGCTACTCGGCATACTAATGCTATCTAAGGTTACTCGTCAAAGTCTGCGCCACCCTACATATCCCTGACGCGCGTTTCGCTTATCAGCTCATCAGAAGGAAGCCGGGGTCCTTAACCTCCCGGTCTTTTAAGGGAAATACCCTATTACTATTGGTGACCGTTATTTTTGAATCAACCAATGAAAGAGAAGATACTCATCTGTTGCTAACTAACGTAATCGTTAGATTAAGAACGGGTTGATTAACCCTTTCTATTTTGATCACTGAAATAATCAGAAAAGTTAATAAAAACAATATAAATAAATAAGGAAAAGATCTATTTTAGTATTGTGCAAAGTTATTGCCAGCTTTAAAGAAATGATTATTGTGAATTGTGTAATTTCTCATAATAATCACCCTTTTTAGAAATGTATAAATCAATGTTCTATCTTTCATGGGGTCATTATTCGTGGCAAGATATCTGAGCTATGTCCAATATGCCATCTATCATAGATATAATCTTAGGATTGTGAACTATACAAATACGGTCCAATTTATTCCTGGGGATACTACACATTTTCTCAGGGATTTTAAGATGCTATTTTATGAGACAGATGTTTCAGTCGCGTCCCCTGGATTATATTGTGCCTACATTATTTAGCAATATTATTCTTCATTTACCGGATTCAATGTAACCCAACTTTGGATAATACTACAGTAAGCTACTCGTTGTTTCCTAACACTTTCCTCATCCTTTGTCGTTAATGACAGACACCGAAATATTATATCGAAATCTCGATCTCTGTTACCAACCTAATATAAATTAATAGTGTGTTGATCATGTATTAAATATACTAGGACCGTATCAATTAAATTAATAAATACAAATGTTGAAAGTTCTTTCATAAATAAGAAACTCTTCTTGATCAAGATTTATTCATAAAGAAAAAGTCAGTTATTTGAGTAGGGGCTGAAACGTGTTAATAATTATCAACCCGAATATACTTTACATTCAGTATGTATGTCTAAACCCCTATGCACGTATATTCTTATACTGACTCTTGAATCATTGGAATCCATTTATGAAAGGGACCAATTTGTCTATCAAGTTAAAAATGCTTAACGAAATTATTCATGAATCAGAACTTGGTTTTTATAGATAATGTTCAAAATCTCTATCCATGGATGAAAGGGGTGAAATTAAATTCTTCATTCAGACCCCTAGGGGTCAGTGTTCTAAAGGTGTGTATCCACCTTGACTCTTGTTTTAATAATTTGAGATTAAAATTGCCCTTCCTAGAATTAAGAGATATTTGTTCAATAGCCTGAAATTTGAGATTTGACGCATCACTGTTATGATGTTTTCTAATGTGATTCGCTACAGGAGTAGATATGTTGATATTTGTAACTGAATTAACGTGTTGCAGTATGCGTCTTCTAAACTGTTGATACGTTTTTCCCACGTATTGTATGCTGCAACTGCATGTAATTACATAAACTACCTTTGTGGTGGAACAGTTAACAAATTGTTTGTTGACAAAACGTTGTTGTGTTTGAGTACATTCTACGATCTTAGAAGGATATATGTAATCACAGGCCTTACAATGTCCGCATTTATAAGTGCCTCTGGTCATCGTTAGCCATGATCTTATTGGTGGTTCCGGTTCCAAATGGCTATGTACCAGAATATCTCTCAAGTTTCTCGGTCTCCGTGCTGTAATACTGGGCCACTGTGTGAGATGTTTGGCCAAATCCTTATCATGTGTTAGGATCGGCCAGTGGTCCTTATAGATTCTTTTTATTGGGTCCCATAGTTGGTCAAAAGTCCCAATACAGCGTATGGGTTGTTTCACTTCTTGTGGTTTCATGGTACGTAAAGCGGTAGTTCTTTCCATTGCTGATGCCCGTTGGTATGCTTTTTTTAGAACTCGGTTCGGATAACCTTGAGATTTGAACACATTTTTACAAACTCAGACCCCAAACCCCACACTTCTGACAAACACATCACAAACTTTTTTAGATCAGGAATGGCCTACCCCACAGAGGGGACGCCTAAGAGACAGGGGGAAATGGGGATACAAGCCAGAGAGGACCACCAAGAGGCAATAAGAATCGAAATTCCCAAGAAAGATGATAATAAAGTCATTAATCTCTCAACGTATATCTTATCCAAACATCATATTTCACTTTTAAATAAAGGCCTTTCATTTGTTCCTACACCAGGGGCAGATGTTTTCAGTTAGACAAAAGATACTAATTTGTTTGGTAGAAAACTGGCATTATGCTCTCTACACAACCGAAGAGATAATAAGCTATGCAAAGAGATAGGTATTGCCCCAGAGGATCATGACCATTTGCAAATGTTGATACGGTTATTGGACGAACAGGATACCATGCAACCTTTAACAGATGTTAAACCTCCATCTTGGTACACTCCTAATTTAAAAGAGGTAACAAATGTAGATCTCTTTGTTCAAATGACAACAGACAAAATTGAAAAATTAACAACTTTGCCAATAAACAAACATAATTTGTCCTTAAGTGAACAATGTGCACTACGTGAATTAAGCATGAATAAAAATTTAATCATTAAACCTTCAGATAAAGGTGGCAATATTGTACTGATGGATCGGAAGATGTATGTCTCAATGTGTATGGACCATCTTAATGATCCTCTATGTTATAGAAAACTAACTATTGATCCAACTTTAAGTTACATAGAGGACCTTAAAAATCTTTTAAATCAGGCACTGGAGCATGAGATTATCTCCAGAGATGAATTTAGATACATTCTTCCGAATCCTAATCCCACAATTGCCACCTTCTACTGTCTTCCGAAAGTGCACAAGGACCAACAGCAACCCCCAGGTAGACCGATTGTTTCTGGGAATGGGTCTCTTACAGAAAATGCCAGCAAGTACATTGAGAAACTACTTCATCCATTTGTTCTGAAGCTGGCATCTTATATTAAAGATACTAAACAGACTCTACTCAGATTAGAAAATCTGGAGGTTCCACCTTATTCTATGCTAGCTAGCCTAGATGTGGTTTCTTTATATAATAATATTCCACATACTATGGGGTTAAAGGCTATAACTTATTTTTTGGAAAAATCTGACTTCACATTATCACAAAGAGACTTCATAGTGAAACTGTTGGATTTTATCCTAACGCATAATTATTTCATTTTCAATGGGATCTATTACTTGCAAGTGAAAGGCACCGCTATGGGCACAGCTTGTGCACCAAGTTATGCCAATCTCTACCTAGGATGGTGGGAAGAGACACTCTTAAGTGAAACAATAGCTGAAAAATTTGGACAATCTATATTACATTGGGGTAGATATATTGACGATGTCCTGCTATTTTGGTTAGATACGGTCGACACCTTTAAGGACTTTGTAAATATTCTGAATGACAATCCTATAGGACTTAAATTAACTTATGTTATTGATGCTGAACAAATTGAATTTCTGGACCTAAGGATTCTCCTGACTTTGGAGGGTAAGGTACACACAGAATTATTCCGTAAGAAAACCTCTACCAACAGTTTACTTCATTGGGAGAGTCATCATCCATTTAACCAAAAAGCAGGAATACCATATGGTCAGTATCTAAGGGCAAGGCGAAACTGTTCGGATGATGAGACATTCTACAGAGAGGCAAAAGAACTGAGGACAAGGTTCAAATCTCAAGGTTATACGAACCGAGTTCTAAAAAAAGCATACCAACGGGCATCAGCAATGGAAAGAACTACCGCTTTACGTACCATGAAACCACAAGAAGTGAAACAACCCATACGCTGTATTGGGACTTTTGACCAACTATGGGACCCAATAAAAAGAATCTATAAGGACCACTGGCCGATCCTAACACATGATAAGGATTTGGCCAAACATCTCACACAGTGGCCCAGTATTACAGCACGGAGACCGAGAAACTTGAGAGATATTCTGGTACATAGCCATTTGGAACCGGAAACAACAATAAGATCATGGCTAACGATGACCAAAGGCACTTATAAATGCGGACATTGTAAGGCCTGTGATTACATATATCCTTCTAAGATCGTAGAATGTACTCAAACACAACAACGTTTTGTCAACAAACAATTTGTTAACTGTTCCACCACAAAGGTAGTTTATGTAATTACATGCAGTTGCAGCATACAATACGTGGGAAAAACGTATCAACAGTTTAGAAGACGCATACTGCAACACGTTAATTCAGTTACAAATATCAACATATCTACTCCTGTAGCGAATCACATTAGAAAACATCATAACAGTGATGCGTCAAATCTCAAATTTCAGGCTATTGAACAAATATATCTCTTAATTCTAGGAAGGGCAATTTTAATCTCAAATTATTAAAACAAGAGTCAAGGTGGATACACACCTTTAGAACACTGACCCCTAGGGGTCTGAATGAAGAATTTAATTTCACCCCTTTCATCCATGGATAGAGATTTTGAACATTATCTATAAAAACCAAGTTCTGATTCATGAATAATTTCGTTAAGCATTTTTAACTTGATAGACAAATTGGTCCCTTTCATAAATGGATTCCAATGATTCAAGAGTCAGTATAAGAATATACGTGCATAGGGGTTTAGACATACATACTGAATGTAAAGTATATTCGGGTTGATAATTATTAACACGTTTCAGCCCCTACTCAAATAACTGACTTTTTCTTTATGAATAAATCTTGATCAAGAAGAGTTTCTTATTTATGAAAGAACTTTCAACATTTGTATTTATTAATTTAATTGATACGGTCCTAGTATATTTAATACATGATCAACACACTATTAATTTATATTAGGTTGGTAACAGAGATCGAGATTTCGATATAATATTTCGGTGTCTGTCATTAACGACAAAGGATGAGGAAAGTGTTAGGAAACAACGAGTAGCTTACTGTAGTATTATCCAAAGTTGGGTTACATTGAATCCGGTAAATGAAGAATAATATTGCTAAATAATGTAGGCACAATATAATCCAGGGGACGCGACTGAAACATCTGTCTCATAAAATAGCATCTTAAAATCCCTGAGAAAATGTGTAGTATCCCCAGGAATAAATTGGACCGTATTTGTATAGTTCACAATCCTAAGATTATATCTATGATAGATGGCATATTGGACATAGCTCAGATATCTTGCCACGAATAATGACCCCATGAAAGATAGAACATTGATTTATACATTTCTAAAAAGGGTGATTATTATGAGAAATTACACAATTCACAATAACCATTTCTTTAAAGCTGGCAATAACTTTGCACAATACTAAAATAGATCTTTTCCTTATTTATTTATATTGTTTTTATTAACTTTTCTGATTATTTCAGTGATCAAAATAGAAAGGGTTAATCAACCCGTTCTTAATCTAACGATTACGTTAGTTAGCAACAGATGAGTATCTTCTCTTTCATTGGTTGATTCAAAAATAACGGTCACCAATAGTAATAGGGTATTTCCCTTAAAAGACCGGGAGGTTAAGGACCCCGGCTTCCTTCTGATGAGCTGATAAGCGAAACGCGCGTCAGGGATATGTAGGGTGGCGCAGACTTTGACGAGTAACCTTAGATAGCATTAGTATGCCGAGTAGCTCTAGACTTTGAAATATTATTTATTCGCAGTATAGAGGAAATTCACGCATTAGCGTTCGAGAATTGGAGGGGGCGTCAACATAGACGATTTTAACCCTAAGAGAGAACCTCTATGCTGAGCAGACTTAAATTCGGAATTGTAATTAGATAGTCAATCTATCTTTCTTTAATAGCTTTGCTGCATTAAGGCTGTATCGTGGGATTTGAAGGGACAGGCTAGATAGCCATCTGATTACAAATACCGCCCCACAGGTCGAACAAAGGGGATTACTGTTCATTACTGTATCCTCCTCTTTCTCTTCCCACGTCCAACAGCTAACAAACTATACAAGCAGCTATGCTGTCCAATCAAATTGTACCCAGGGTTAAATAATATGGTTATACTCAGGATAACTCTGCTAACAGAAATTAGCAACAATGTTAATTTGGGCACTAAGGATTATTAGTTCTAGCAGTCTGAGCAGCTACCTTAATATGTAAGCATACGAGTATCTAGTAATCTATCTTACCAGAAGTTGAGGTTACATTTATCCATAATTGGAGCGCCAATAATTCAGATTATGTTTTGGTAAATTTATTACAGTAGAGTCTGGGTTCACCCTAGAATTGTGTTATTAACAGTTTAGTTATTAGCACTATTTATTGAGAAAGATTTCACTAAACCAGACTTATATATCTTAGAGTGGGCATTTTTTTCCCTCTAGTGAAATCACAATTTTTAGCGTTAATTTAGTGATTTACATTTAGATGTGGTGTAGCAACACGTGTTTATCACAAAAGTGAGTGTACAGCCCTTATGATTAAGGGACTTTTTATAGGATTTATTAAAAGTGACGTTTTAATTTATTTGTGCTCCATTGGTGTTAATATTTATCAGCACGGGAATCTCCAATTTTTCTTTTCTTTTTGCCAATTTACAAGGGGTTAACCCCCATGGAGGTTCCAGTAGTCTAAAGGCTCCTCTCTTTCTTCTTTTTTCATTCTTTTAAATCAATTGGGAAAATTCTCCATGTTTGACATTTTAGATCAAAGTTTACATTTATATTCAATTTCAACATAATCATCTTTTTAGTGACTCAACTACCTTAAACTGCGTTCTGAATAAAATGTGTTGAATAAGATTTTGTGGTATTGGTATAAGGTTAAAGATCCCTTATAAAAACCTTCTGTAAGTAATAAACTGTACAAAAATTGAGCATGTTTAAATGTTACCATTTATCAGCACAACAAATAAATGAATGTCAAGTGGCTTACCGTGTTACAGAGTCCTTCATGGATTGTACAATCTAAAGTTCCAAATCTAATCTGTCCAAACAAACGTTTTGATGCTTTCCTTAGTTCTGGCAGTAAGGCTCGACATGGGGGACACCACTAAAGGAGAACAAAGGAATGATACAATATAGAACTTAAATTGGAGAACAGTTTAAAGACATGAATTATGAATTCATGCCATGTATTATTGAAGGAAAAAATAAATAAATTATATATATATATATATAGATAGAAAAGAAAAAAAGATACCATACTGTAGGAGAAAGACATGACAATATGGTTATTGAAATATACATTAATACAGTTGACACAAAATGCATTCTTATTGCAGCAAACAAATACAAAAGTTTTGCACTTACAGGAGCAAAGAAGTCAACCAACCAGGCTTCCCTCTGATCACCAGGAAAGTTCTGGGGTCCCAGCGTAATGACATGAGAATTAACACTTTCTTTTGTAAAAGCAACCAATTCATACAAGGTTATTTTTCCTTTAAAACAAAAGCAAAGAACCGAACAAAGGTCAAATACTACAGCAGCAAAAATGTACATACATTTAAAAAAATTAAAATAAAAAAAAATCATTGCCAACGGTTTAAAATGAAACACAAATATAAAACAATTTCAATTAAAAATCAGTATATATATATATATATATATATATATATATATGAAAATTAATAATAAAAAAAATGGAAAACATTTTTATTTTGGGAAAAACTACAAGCAGAACTTTTAGTTCTTAATTATCAAAATATGGCTTTAATTTAACATTTTTGGATAAGCTATTCAAATCTGGTAGTAGAGTGCTGCACACTAGCATCTTGATACACCAGAGCTCTGTGGGAGAGGTCCACTAGCCCCCAATATAAATCCAGAGGTAGAGAGCCACAGGCTACACGGTGATGATTTAAGTATTTTTTTATTATGGTCCAAAAGCCATGAGGCGCTAATTATGATTAAGGCACAGTGTAGTCTGTGGCTATATACTTCTAAATTATGCAAATTTGTTGGAGAAAAAAAAAAAAAGGAAAAGAAAAGAAAAAAAAAATCTCCAAAAATAATGGTGACTTCTGTATTTAAATCATTTGAAAAATTTTTAAAGGGACACTATAGTCACCAAAACAACTTTAGCTTAAACAGTTTTGGTGTGCAGATCATGCCCCTGCAGTCTCATTGCTCAATTCTCTGCCATTTAGGAGTTAAATCACTGTTTATAAACCCTAGTCACACCTCCCTGCATGTGACTTGCACAGCCGTCATAAACACTCCCTGTAAACAGTCATCTAATGTTTAACCTTTCTTTATTGCAAGTTCTGTTTAATTTAGATTTTCTTATTCCCTGCTATGTTAATAGCTTGCTAGACCCTGCAAGAGCTTCTTGTATGTCATTAAAGTTCAATTTACATAGCAAGATATAAAAATGCTTAATTCAATTTACATCTGATTGAAAGTGAAAACAGGTTTTTTTTCATGCAGGCTGTGTCAATCAGGGGAGGTGTGGCAATGGCTGCATAAACAGAAACAAAGTGATTTAACTCCTAAATGGCAGTGAAACCTGAGAAGCATGATCTATACACTAAAACTGCTTCATTAAGCTAAAGTTGTTTAGGTGAGAATAGTGTCCCTTTAACAAATTTGAATAATTTGGACAACTTATTAAATCAGAGCACATGTTTGACTCTGCCATCACAAAGGGATAAAATAATGTATGGGATACATAGAATAAAAAAACTGCCCAAGATTAGAGGCACCCTGAAGGATAACCCACATGAATGATTTAAAGTAACAGCTCTGAAAAACAACCATTTGCATTAGGATTTTCAAAACACTATAAGAAAACGTTCAATTAGTTGCTCACCATGATGAATTTCATAGCTGTCAATGCCGTCTCCTTTAAAGGCAGCTACACAGGGTTTGTTAATGTAGTGTTTATGGCAAACAGCTGAGTTGGATTGACAATCAAATCTTCCAACCTTAAAAAGAAACAGATTTTATTTGCCGTTATTTTCCAAGGTGTCAACATTGCATTATTTGGGTAAGTATAAAAAACCCTCTGTGCCAATAGTGGCATATATCTGCTCGATTTCTACCTTCTAGGGAGAAGATGGAAATGCAGACCATGTGATGTACCAACACTGAATGCCAACTACACTCTTTACTACTCTTCTACTTACACCTTTGACTATAGGCTTTAACACAGAACCCACTAGATTTCATAGGTTTAATATGATCACTTACTTGAACATTATCTTTTCGAAGTAAAACATTTAGCTTCTTGAGCTCTGGAAGGAAGTGTTGTTGATCCTTCCCGTATGTAAAGAAAATAAGCCACCGGTGATGTGCTAATCTATCCTTAAAAAGAAAGACAATTTCTTGTAAAAAGTACTGAAAAACTCACAGAAAGTTTCAAATTCTTAAAATGCATTCATCTTTGTAAATACAAGGTAAACAGAGATATAAAATGTTTTTTGATCTACATTGATACACATCTAACAAATTACATGTAAACATTCCAGATTCACACTTTAACCCGTGTCATGTGAGTACAAGAGCCCCAACATATTTGTGGCTACAAGAGACTAGGAAAATTTAATTTTCTTTACCTTTAAAGATTCTTCAGAGAGATATTCCAAATCAGGAAGGCGATGAATAACTTCTTTGTAGATCTCTTTTGCATCTAAGGTTTCAAGGAACTAAAAAAATAAATAAATAAAAAATATACTTTTATTCTATACCAGTATTTTTTTTTTTTTTTTTTTAAATTTCGATAGCTTTTTGACTCCACTTTTTCTTTTAGTTTTATCCGGCTTAGATTGCCATTTCTGAAGAATAGTGAAATTAATATCCGGTTCCAAAATTTGGGTTAATAGAGTCTAGAGGACATAAATCTTTGGCTCAGCTAAATTTAAAAGTTTCTGCTAAACCTCCTAATATCTAAAAGTCCAGATCAAAGTATTTCAACTTCCTTTGGTTTCTCATGATTTGTACAGAAAAAAAAAAAATTACTCAAATTCAACTCAGGATATGATAATTATGTATTTGGGATCAACACTATAGGTGTAAGAGAGTAAGAGGCACAGACACACCAGAAAAATAAAAATCTGACGATAGTGATGCTGAGATCGTAGATTTTTTTCTAACAGATTTTTTTTTTAAATGTTCAAGAACTGCAAATTGTGGCAGATTTTCAATGCATTTCTGTGGATGTGATGTAGATGTAATTGCTTCCCATAAACTATTATAGTCCCACAATAAAAAAAAAATAAAAAAATAAAAAAACCTACCAAAATGCTGCTCCTGTCATCCACTAGGGTAGCTCCAGGGGGGAAATAAGCGGTAGTGCTTGTTGCGATAGCCATGTTGTCGCAGAGATTTGCTTGCGTAGAGCAGTCCATCCATCCTACACGAACAAGCCCTTCCTGAAGAAGATAAAGAAAAGAATGACATTTGATTAGTCTACGAGGGAGTATTTCAGAACAGACATCTAAATGTGGAGCAATCACCATGACACTCAATAAAAAAAAAATTTCAGCTAGCTAGCTAACTGTATTAGCACTTGGTAATTACCAATCATTACAAATCAGCTGTATCAAGGAATGTTAGAGAAAATGGATCATAAAAAAGGAAACCTGTTTACAGAATTTAACGATTTCAATGCCACAATGAACCAACGTTCCCACGTAAAATGATGCAAAATGTGGTAAACACTAATGTAGGACACATTCAATATTTCATTTACCCAGGATGTGATCAATGTAAGACATGCAGACAGAAACAAAAAGTAAATAATAATAAAAAGAAAATTCAATGTTACTTTAATGTAACTCATCGTTGAGCACTTAATATCCCCATTGTCTACAGCAATCTTCATTAAAAATGCTTAAAAAAAAACAAACAAAAAAAACAAACAAAAAACAAACAAACAAAAAAACACACACACTCTTGGCACGATATCAACTTCATTGGAATTAAGTGGTTCTGGAGCCAGGAAGTTCATGGCACTGGCTTTCCATTTAAGGGTTAAACCGTTCACGATTTGTTTAGCCCAAAGTCAGTATCCAGCGCCAAATCGCTCTGCCGCCAAGTCAGTTGGCACGCTAAGCCAATCAGTAGCTTCCTGTTCCCAAAACAGCATGACAAATTTACATATTTTTCTCAAGCTATTTATATGAATGGGGCTCTACAAATTGGCTAAGAGCATCAGCGGCACCCCTGTCTACAGATACCTGAGGTTTCCGGTTTCAAGAATCTAAGCAGTCGACGGACATGGGGCAGAGAGATGGGGCACTGAATACATGACTTTGGGGTTAAAGCGTTTATGAATGTTTTTCTCTTTCTTTCTTTCTTTCTTTCTTAAGCAGTGAATATTAAATTTCTTATAGACTAACTAGGTCCATAGTTGGGACAAGTGCTAGATGAAAACCAAAGCAGAGTGTGTAACTTTCTGATTATGAAAACAAGGGTAATCCACTATCCAAATCATACAGCATCAAACCTATGTTTCCCAACTAATAACCTGCAAACACACTTCAGACACACCTGTCGTATTAGTGGCAGAGGTGAGGGAGGGGGGGGGGGTAGAGGGTTACATCTAGTGATCATAAGTTGTGTTAAATTTATGCCAGGGAAGCCACTCTGCTTCGTATTTGTCAGTGGACATTCTGTCTGGCAGGAACCCTTTTTTCATTCTATACTGGAAATTAACCTGTAAGCTTATTTCGGACCAAATCAGAGGGCATATTTTCCTCCAGTTTCTGGCAATTATTAATTTCGTGGCCATAAAAAAAAAAAAAAAATAAAGAATCAGAAGGGTTTTTGCATTATTATTGTCGGGAGGGAAGTCAATATGGAATTAAAGCATGTGCGCTGTTAGTTTGACTTCAGTATAGTTTAGCAATCTAGAGAGTCTCTTTTGTTGTGGACAGCTCCTCACACTGCCACCAAATATGAGAAAATGTACCCAAAGCTTTGCCACAACGCCAGCAATCAGGAGATACATCGGAAGCCATTTGTGAAAGACGAAATGGAACCAAGTACCAGCGGTAAATAAGTTTATAATATACTTCTAGAATGGTTACACTGTGTGTGATTCTTTTTACAAAAAGAAAGCCCTGTAACCAACCTTCCCAAGCACAAAGTGGAGTTCTTATTCCCATTTTATCATTGCTGGGGCTTTGTATTTATGTTGCTGGGTGTTAATAAATCTAGAGAACATTTTATTACGCAAGTGCTGAGTCAGAAACTGGTCTATCGGAGTTGGCCTTGCCAAGGCTTTACCAGTTAAAAAGGATTTCATTCTCAGATAGTTAAACATCTTCCTATGAGGATGGTTAAATTTAGAGAAAATGTAACCCCTAAATGGAAAGCTTGTGCCAAGGATTTGGCATGATAAGAACATTATTCTCATAAAGTTGTTATGGTGTCCAGAGTGTTCCTTGTACATGCTCCCACAAATAGTGATATTTTAAAGTAATGAACAACCACAAAATAAATACTACTTAGATTTGCTTCTTCAACCAACCAACTCACCAGCATGCCTGCAAGCTTTAAACGAGTCTGAGAACTTAGACAATCTGTAAACAATGTAAAGTAAGAAGTCATTATTCATTCAGATATTGCATAGAAAAAAAAAAATATTTTGCTACTTCAGTCATGCAGTAGGTTTTCACTTCATCAATTGTGAATTGTTTTGCATAGTGTATTGGGGGGGGAAAAAACCCCACGTCTACACCTGTGGCAATCATATCTCACTTTTTTTTGAATGAAGTAGTTTTGATGTATAGATCATGCCACTGCAGTCTCAATGTCAATTCTCTGCCATGTAGGAGTTAAATCACAGGCCTAGTCACACCTCCCTGCACACAGCCTTCCTAAACACTGCCTGTAAAGATATATCAAATGTTTAAACTTTCTTTATTGCACATTCTGTTTAATTTAGAATTTTTGTAATGCGTATAAGCCTTCCAGACCATGCAAGATCCTCCTGTATGTGATTAAAGTTCAATTTTCTGTTCAGGAGGGTAAGTATAGAGGCTATAGGGAGGGCCCGATTGTTAGGACGTGTTATGACCCCCTAACGGTGTTAAAAACCTAATTTTGAAGGACGGCATAACATGCCCCAACGCATACGTTATTTTGATGCCTATAGTATCCCTTTACCATAGGTGCGTATAGATAATGTATTTTTTAGTCCTGCAGTCAAACATGCACCCACATACAGGAATGCGTCTTTAAAGAGGAAAAGTTATTGGGGCGAGGGAGAGCATATCAAGTAAAGTTAGTTTGTATTTTCACTTTTAGTTTGGTAAAAAAAAAAAAAATGACTAAAAAAAATAAAAATCTAAAAAATAAATAAAAATGTTTTTTCATTATTTTTTTGATTCATACCGAATACAAGACAGTTTAAGCATAACACAGTGACCAAGAGAAATTTCAAATGTTCCATGATTCTACATAGGTGCAGGGAATCATGGGAAGAAGTTGTCTGGGCAAATGTATGCCCTCAGTGATAAAAAAAAATTATTAATGCTTAGAGAGATAAAGGGAAGAGGAACTAATGCAAGCAAAAAAGTTACAGTATCTCTTTAAATCATGTATATAGATAATTACATTAGGGTCCACCAACAAGTGTCTCCTCATTGTTATTGTGAATTATATTTAATGTGCTTTAGCAAACATACAGGTAGAATCATGCCAACTGAAAATCATATGAGTGGTGTTGGAAAGCAAGTGTTTTGGATGACGTTTAAGTTGCACAGACAGCAAAACTTTCCAATCTTGAAACCACTAAACTAGTTACTGTTATCACACATTAAATTTACCAAAACAGGAAGCACAGTAATTGCAGTATTGCCATTTCAAACTGATAAGAAGTGATAATAGATTTTTAAACTTGAAATTTTTTTTTTTTTTAACAAGTAGTGATGTCGCGAACCGTTCGCGAACTTCCCGCGAACGGCTCGCCACGGTTCACCACGAACCGTTCGCGGCGAGTTCCGGTCAGCTGACACATCCCGGCCAATCTCCAGCAGACCCTCCCTCCCAGACCCTCCCACCTCCTGGACAGCATCCATGTTGAAGGCAGCGACATCACTATTTACAAGCTTTTGACCACTTTGCTCAATTACAACTGGTTTCACTTTAAGTGTTAATCGTTTTTTGGGGGTTTTTTTTTTAACAGATGATTCACTAAGTGGCCACTCCGGTGTGTTGCAATATAGTGATTGCCATGCAGGTGAAATAAACGTGTCTGATTTTACCGGGATTTCTCAACCCATCTAGAGCAAGATATTTAAGCATGTGTTATTCTTTCATATGTAAAATTAGGTGTAATGTGATCAGTAAATAAGCTCAAACTGGTTGTAGCAGTTTAGCAACAGGCTTTGCAAACTGGATGTGATACGACAATCTCGCAAACAGTAATAATCTTACCGCCTGTGTCAGCACAGAAAGTGATTAGCCAACCAAGCCCAGAGGCGTAGGCGGTTTCAATGGAATTTCGGAAGTTTCCTAAAATGAAATAAATGAATGATTAAAAATAAATTTAAAAAACAATAAAGATCAGATATAAATTGTTTAAAAAGAAATGAGGAACATTGCCTTCAATAACTGAAAAATATATAGTGTTTTCCTGACACTATAGGGTCGTTAGGTCCCCCCCACCCTCAGGGCCCCCCTCCGCTGGGCTGAAGGGGTTAAAATCCCTTCAGCCACTTACCTTTCTCCAGCGCCAGGCTCGCTCGGCGCTGGTGACCTCTCCTCCTCCTGCCGACGTTAGATCCGAATGCGCATTCAAACCGCCCATAGGAAAGCATTACTCAATTTTCACAGTGAGAATCACGGAAGCGCCTCTAGCGGCTGTCAGTGAGACAGCCACTAGAAGCCGTATTAACCTTCAGTGTAAACATAGCAGTTTCTCTGAAACTGCTATGTTTTCAGCTGCAGGGTTAAAACGCTGGAGTGGTCTAAGTGCCTAAAGCGGTCCTTTAATTTCACAAAAAAAATATGAGTCGCAAATTAAACTGGCACATGCAAAGATTTATGCAGGTTAATCAAATCACTAGAAATTAAAACTACTTAAAGTCTGAAAAAGTCTAAAACTATAAATAAAATCCTAATCCGGGCATGCAAGAATTTATTCTGAATTGAGAACAGCAGTCATTACTATACATACCTGCCCACAACTCTGTCACTGTACTAGACACATACTGCATTGCAAAATTAACCAAATCATCTGATGTTCGCTGCCCAAAATATTTTACTGGATTCTGTAATAGAAAAGAAGTGTTAGGTACCAGATAATTAACACAGGAGGTGTATGAAATATTTAGCAATATTAGTGGTGTTAGAAACTTTCATGGGACATGATATGCAACCTTTCAGTCACACTAGTATTCACCATTTATGCCTATAGCATAAAACTCCATTCCTTGCTGGCTACCCTTTAAACCGCTATCCCTTAGTGGTAATCAATGTTAGCTTTTTTAAAGGGACACTCTTGGCACCAAAACGACTACAGACTAACGTAATGGTTCTACAGGGACTGTTTCTGAGAAAAGGTATTGTTTACATTGACGCCTATGATAACCTTTAGTGGCTGTCAGACAGTTGTGGCCGTCTTGTAATCGTTGCAGGATTCCCTGTCAAGCGCACTAGGAATCATTAGAGTGGTCTAAGAAGGAAAGGCTGCTGGGGGGAATTAAGGCAAGTATATCTTTTATTTAATTATTTTTAAGGGGTCTGCACCAAAATAGTGGAGGAAGAACTCTAACGCTATAGTATTCCTTTAAGAATCTCCCTGTCCTGTTTACAACAACTTCTGCTCAAAGTCTATACATTGTGCTAGAATAAATGCTAACAAATACATAGATTCTAAAATATTTATACAATAGTCTCCCCCGTCAGTCAGTTCTACACATAAAAGGGTTTTTCGCTAAAGTGACAAATCAAAGTAAAATTCAAATTCGAGGTAAAAAGAGACGAAATGGACAAATTCACTAACTCTGTTATTCTTCCAATTTAGCTACCCTGGACTTAAAGGGACACTATAGTCACCAACAACTTCAGCTTAATGAGGTTTTTCAGGTGAGAACTATAGCTCTCTGCAGCCTCTCTCATGTAAACACTGTATTTTCTGAGAAAATATAGTGTTTACTTTGAAAGCTAGGAACACCTCCAGTTGCAGTCACTCAAGAGTGAACCAGAGGGACTTCTGAGTTGATGGAGGCATAATATGCCTCCATCCACTCAGATCTGCTGTGCACGAGCATCCTGTGATTCAGTATCTCCTCCCACTGCATGCAGACACTGAACTTTCCTCATAGAGATTCATTGATTCAATTCATCTCTATGAGGAGATGCTGAATGGCCAGGGCTGTGTTTGAATCATGCTGGCTCTGCCCCTGATATGCCTCCTTGTCAGTCTCAGCCAATCCTATGGGGAAGCACTGTCAGGCTATAACATGTCAGCAGACTGCTTGTTTTGACTGAGTCTAACAGCCTGCAGATTTACAGCTTCTGGCTTGAATACAGTAAGATTTTTACTATATTTATGGAGGCATGAGTGGCCCAGGGGGGCTAGATGGTCGTGGGTCAGGAATACATGTAGTTACACTGGTGACTATAGTGTCCCTTAAAATTTGACGTTCACTTTGGTGAGTAACCCTGATAGATATCCACGCTAAGGACCGAATTAAAGGGAAAAAAGTCAGGAAACCCTCCTACAGGTTGTTCAGCTATTTGTAGCCCAGATACATGGTTTTATAAAAGTAAATTATCTATTTGGTCAGGCCTGTAGACATGTGTGTCAGTGGTGTGTGTGTCTGTGTGTGTGTGTGTGTGTGTGTGTGTGTGTGTGTATGTATGTTCAAAATGCGTCTGAATATGAGCTCTTGGACCTTATCTAATGAGAGGTATGTGCTTATTGGAGGGCAATTGCCTGGTGTCACCAATAACTGAATACTGAAAACCAACCCGGGACAGCTAAGATTTTCTGCCAAACCTGGGACAATTAAGATGTTTGCTCACATGTAAAAACACACACGTCTTTCAAATAACCAGATATAATAATCCTGTTACTATTCTAATGATATAATATAGCAATGACACATACCATTCCAGTTCTGAAAATGTAGAGACTTGGGTAGCTGTTGATTCCTTGGCTTCGGCAAAGCATTCTGTCATCGCCACAGTTCACAGCTCCAATTCGAATGAGTCCGTCCATTTCTTTAGCAAATTCTCTCCACTAAAAATATTACATGAAATGAAACACATGGTTGAAGATTTTAGACTCTCAATAGCAAAAGGTAAAATTATACCAAACTAAAAGACACAAAAATATTTCATGCCTACTAATTGTTTATATATTATTTTCAAGACTTGCAAAAAACGACATACAAACTGCACTTTACCTGAAATTTAGAAGTTGCAGGGATTGGATTTCAGTATATCAAATGGCAATTATGTTTTAAAATACCACACTGCACACATGAAGATGGCATAGCATCCCAATTAGTTCCCATTACAAAGTGGGGCCCCTAATCTCAGAACCAGGGCATATATTAGGATTAGAGTTAGGTGCAGTAGGTTTTATCACAAAAAAAAAAAAAAGATAGAAAGATTTTATAGCCAATTATACAGGCAAAGAGTATACGTTTCGGTTCACTGAGTCATATTGGTTTTCCTTAACCCCTTTGTGACCAGACCGTTTTTAAATTTTCTTACCGTTAAGGACCAGGGCTGTTTTTATATTTCTGCGGTGTGTGTTTAGCTGTAGTTTTCCCCTTACTCATTTACTGTACCCACACATATTATATACTGGTTTTCTCGCCATTAAATGGTTAAAGATACCATTATGTTCATCATATCATAATTTACTATAATTTTATTTTTTTTATAAATTATAATGAAAACAAAAAAACAAAAACACACTTTTTCTAACTTTGACCCTCAAAATCTGTTACGCATCTACATCTATAATTTAATAACTTTATTTTTTTATTTTTAAACTTTTTTCACCAGCAGGGGGACTGCCTGTCAGTTCAGGCAGTCCCCATGCAGGCAACACTATGGACTGCTGTTGCAGCCATGTAATGCTCTTTCAGAGTGATCACACTGCCCTTGGGGTCTCATTTTTTAGAGGGGGGACTGTCTGGGCTGTCAGTGAGTCCCCCCCAGTGGAGAAGAAGGCCAATCGCCGGTGGGGGAACGGCGGCGATGGGGTAAGGGAATGGAGAGAGAGAAGGGCTGGGGTTTTTATTTATTAATTATTTTATTAAATCACTGTACACCAAAACCACGTTGTTTCATTAAGTTGTTTGGGTGACTATAGTGTCCCTTTAATTTAGACCTATGTCATATTTGGATAAACGTTTACAATTATTTTTGGGGAAATATTTAAATATCTAAAACATTTTATATAAATATTAAAAAAAAAAAACATTAAAAATATCAAAATATTTCATAATTGAAAAGCTTAAAGAAAAATATTAAATCTGGGCCTTAGTTGATAAGTTTTAGGGAAGAGTAGCAGTTAATTGGGACCATTTCATGTAAGGGTAGCACTGGGATATTTGTTTTCCTTGTCTTCCTAAGATTAGAGGGAGTTACACTCCCAAGAGACAGCTGCTGTGATTTTATTTCAGCAGTCTGAAATAACTGCTAGTCGAGAGTGTAACTCTCACTTATCTTGGGCATTACCTGGACATACTGAATGCTCCCCAAATAACAAAAAAACATCCTTAAAACCCTTTGGCCTCAAGATTTGTGATGTCTCCAGAAGCCCTCAAGGGTAACAATTTCCCACAATAAAGATATTTATTCTGCACACACATGAACAGTTCACTTTTGTACTACTACTACTATTACCACCACCACATGTGTCACTGTTATACATCTTTAATATGATAATATTTTTGATTAGTGTAGGGGTTGAAGGTTACGGTATATTGTAAGAGTTAATGGTTTGCATAGAGTAGAGCTTAATGTATACCAGAGACCCAACATGGAACTATTTTCCATAATACACATTCCCAGTTATGTATCTCTTGGATCACCTGATATTTAGGCTATGGTTAGCGTAAGTGTTTATGTAGCATATGGGTTAAAGTCTAGTACAGTGTATTGGCTGATGGGAGGACTTCGCTCTTTGGGCAGGACTGGGACAGTGCTTCTTTAGATAGGTGGGCGCTACGGTCCTAGGTGGTAACTAGTTCAGAAGCTGCCAATAAATTGTAACGTGTACTTTTGTACAAAATGTAACAGCTACTAATTCTCAAATGCCACAGGGGAGATGGTACATTAAGACATCTGTGCGACATAGAATTTGAAACCGTGATGAAATAGTATTAAAAATAAGATATTTTCTCTCTCATACCGTTGGTGCCAGATCATGACAGTGCGAGCATCGAGGAGAATAGAAATTAATGAACCACAATTCCCCAGAGTTGACAGCGCCGTCTAAAAGGAAAACAAAAGGTGCAAAATGAATAAAGCCACAGAGTAATTAGTGAATCGAGTTTACAGTTTTTAGACAGGAGGTTGAAATGTCTCTTTGAAAAAGCAACTTCTATCCTCAGGACCCCTGAATGCTTGGTGTAAATAAGCCTATTGCAGAACTCATTAATGTGCAGAGCGGTGTTTAAACAGCAGAAATTGTGTTGGGAAAGAAGTTTGTGTAAATACTTCCTTATAAGTGCTTAGTAACAAATGTATGTCTGTGATAAAAGAGGTACATTTTGCAAACATGATGATATCTTGTAGTTAACTGAAAAAGCCTAATATTTTTTTTTTTTTTATAAATAATTAAATATCTATCACACAAGTACAGTTCTTAAATTTGAATGTTGTTTTTAGACATGTTCTTTATGCGTTTAATACAGGCCCTCTGTTTTATTTAAGGATTTAAAAAACCCAAACAAAAAACCCCCAAAAACCATAAGACACTTATTCACGTGCCAAGACAGTCCTGCTGACTTTTGCTCAATCAGATACGTCCCATACAGACACACTAAGGACATACACTGCATGCACATTTAATTGAGCGTCAGCATAATAATTTTAACTAAATCTATTTTAGTCTGAACCCCCGTTCCGGTGTTGAAATTAGAACTGTAAACCGTGCTTATTCTTAGATATGGCAGGAGGAGCATCTATGTACCTAAATCAATTCATTAAGGTGAAATTAACGCTGTGCTCAGACTGTCCCTTTAAGCAAATTTGCTTTTTATTATATACTCCTGATATGTTAGCTGACAACTGGTTAAATGTCTTACGTGATTACAAAAACCTCTTACTATACATGAAATAGTCTTGGGAAGCACTGGTCATTGCCAGTCCCCAGATATAGGCACACCCTGAAAATCTCCCAAGAAACAAAACAAAAAATAAATTGGAAACAGTGAGTAACAGCTATGAGTTAATAAAGAATATTTTTCCATGGTTAAAAAGCATATTATTTATGTCAGTGTAGAAGGGATTATTTGATATAAGAATCATGATCGTATAAAATATGTGCAAAACCAAAACAAACTAAATCTTTTAACCCCTTAACGACCCCACGATGGCCTATGCCGTCATGCTGGGCGTTTATGCCTGTTGATGGCATAGCCCGTCATGCATTGAAAGTACCAGCCAACGCTCCCTCCGACCCGGAGGCGATCTTAAGCTGTATACAGTTCACCGGGGGTCTGCGTGCTCGGGATAGATATCCCTGAAGGGCCTTTGAAGCCCTTCAGCCCCCCGGTGAGCTGTTTCCTGCAAGAGAACCCAGCACTTATTCCAAGCAGCACTGCTCTCCCCACGATCCCTCCAACCAGCTACTCTTTGGACAGATCACGAACACACATTTCTGCAAGACTACCATAACAGGGATCGTGGCAACAGAAACCTGACATCTCCCAGCCTCCACCTGTATTGGTTCCAAGTACTCCCAGTACCCTTCTAGTCTGGTGAGATCCAACCATTATCATCTATATTTTTTTTTCTTTGCTTTATTTCATTTTTTCTTTTTGTACAGACATTTCAGTACTCACAAGGAATTTTTTTTTATATGAGACTTTCTTATGCTTTGTTTTTTCAATTTTTTTTCCCCAAGTCCCATAACTCTACTATTGACTGGTGCTGCAAGTGCATCATACACAATTACAGTGTGGACTTTGGGATCTGGTCTCTTAAACATATTTACTAAACAGTTTTTTATGCAGACAGTTTACAGGACATATGAATTATCCACTTGCAATAATTTCTGTATGCACTATATATGTAATTTTAGAATTAAATTTATACAACGATTTAACTTAATGGATTTTCTTCTCATCTGATTTACAAATATTGGCTATATCTTTTTTATATAATCAGTGTACAGAATGCAGTAAGCAATCTTTATGTAAATATCTTTGCACATACATACTATCAATCCTCTTTCTTTTTTTGATTGAAGTGATGCACTAATTACCTTGCATAGTATATAAATTAAATACTTTTTCTCAGCATCAAATTTGGAGTGCGGTATCAATATTTTGTTTTTTGTAATCTCATACACCCATGCTAGCAGACAAACTCCTTTGTTTATCTTCCATGTTTAAAAAATAAATAAAAAAAAGTGTGCAGTATTTTTGTATGACATAGTAGGAACAGCTTTCATGCCACTATTATTTTGTGCTCTTGTGACTGTGTCTAAGCTTGTACACGTATTTCTTTTCCATTACAAATGTTTTTTTTTTAATTAAAGTAAAATCTCAAGGTATCATTGGATACCAGTAAACCACCTCTGTCAGCTGGGGATACAGTTTGTGCCTGCAGACTGACAGAATGGCAAAGTGCAGCACCCAAAGTGAGAGCTGTACATAGTCCTTTAAATCCATTTAAATACTCTGACTAAACGATCACACTTGGCCATATTAATTCTGACTGCCACAGCTTAAAACCGGGAACCCCCACTTATATTATACCAGAGGTACCTGTCTGTCGGCTTGGGCCAAAGTTAGTGGAAATCAGCATGATGTCAGCAGAGGGAAACCTTCTGAGCTAGGATTAGGGGTGTGAGGAAGGCCAGCGTGAGGAGTTGGATGGGTTGGATGAGGTGAAAAGGTGTAAATTTGGGTTACAGAATCAATGTTTCCTATGGGGTTTAGCAAGATGCTGGACATCTCATGCAAAGTGTAAGAACGGCCAGCATTGTTTCACAGAGCTAAACTCCGTGAAACAGCAGGAAGCATTTCTAGTGGCTGTCACAAGAGAGCCACTAAAAGCAGTATAACCCCTGCAATGTTAATACTGCAGTTTCTCCAAAAATGCAATGTTTTCAGCTGTAGGGGACAGGCACAGTACACCCAGTCTACTTCAATGAGATGAAGTGGTCTGGGTGCCTATAGCGTCCTTCTAAAAGGAAAAAAAAAAAACTAAAACTAAAAAATACCACTTTCCCTCCCCCATTTTCATATTTAACATAATGTTATAAACACATATAGGGTGTTAAAATAAATCACTATTTCTCCTTTAAAATTCTAAATATGTGTAATAGTGCATATAAATAGAAAGGGTGAAATTGTGTTAGAAGTAACGCATGGCAAATGTGCCAAAAAGATCTTGGTTATAAAAGAGCCTTGGGGTCCTTAACCCCTTAAGGACACATGACATATCTGACATGTCATAATTCCCTTTTATTCCAGAAGTTTGGTCCTTAAGGGGTTAAAGGAACACTGTAGTGTCCGGAATACACACATGTCTACAGCCCCATTAGATCGCTAAGAAAAAGTGATTTTACTCACTTTTTACACCCATGCTGCTCCCCGCCTACGTGGCTTAGATCAATTTTAATCATCTCAGTCAATCAACTGCTTTCCCAAAGGAAAGCACTAAAAGGCTATTCCACATCAGCATCAATCAGAATCTCCTCATAGAGATGCATTGAGTCAATGCATCTCTATGGGAAATGTTCAGCGTCTCCATGCAGAAACTGAACGGCAGTGCTGCACAGTGTGCGCACTAACACAGAAAGCACCTGTGGTGGCTGTCTGAGTGACAGCCACTAGAGGTGTTACTTGGCAGACATGTAATCACTGCCTTTTCTCTGAAAAGCCTGCAGGGACATGCTATACACACCAGAATCACTACATTAAGCTGTAATTGTTCTGGCGATCTAGTGTCTCTTTAAGGGGTTACATTTAAGAGAGAAAAAAAACAAAAATTACATAAAGATTATATACATTTAAAAAAATATTAAAAAAATCTATATGTATATATTAAATAAAATATTTACCAAATTCTCCGCTATCCAAAGTTACAATTTCAAGGTCATCGTCATAAATACCTGTTAAAAGAAAGATGCTGTTTAAACTAAATATAGAACAAAAAAAAAGAACTGAAGAGTTTCACATAAGGCGACCACTTTAATTTGCTTTAAGACGTAGTAAAATATACCAATTATACAAAATAAGACAGGATTATTAACGAAAGTGTAAACGGTCAGGAATTCAAAGTGGTTTTCAAAAAGTACATTGCTTTTGACCTAAAATTTGAATTAATGATAATTTTCAATGATCAACCCTGTCTGTATTTTTTGATGTGTAAATCCTGGAAAGTTTATACATCACTTTAGAGGTAAAAAATAAATGTGATGTCCTGTTTACGAAGATAAAATAAGAGAAGGAAAAACCAAAAAACACATACCAAAATCATAGCGATAATAACTCCAGCTTTCATAGTGGCCTCCCTGCTGCTGGTCCTCCAGGCCCTTCTCACCATATTTATCATACTTCTTTCGAAGGTTTTCGTCTTTTAAAACTTCATACGCTCGGTTTATTTTTAAAAATTTATCATGTGCATCAGGATCATTCTAAAAAATAATAAATAAAATAACATTGGAGGATCCCATTAAAAATGTGTATATAATTACATTTTAAGAGGAAAAAATTATTGATGATTTGTAGTTAATAGTGATGTCCCGAACTGTTCACCGAATGATTCGCGAACGGTTCGCCACGGACTCCAGTCAGCAGACACATTCCAGCCAATCAGCAGCAGACCCTCCCTCCCAGACCCTCCCACCTCCTGGACAGCATCAATTTTGAAGCTGCATTCTTAGTGAGCTGTCCAGGAGGTGGGAGGGTCTGCTGCTGATTGGCTGGAATGCGTCTGCTGAATGGAGTCCGCGGCGAACAGTTCGCAGCGAACCGTTCGGGACATCACTAGTAGTTCACTTTTCCACCAATAATAATAATAATAATAATAATAATAATAATAATAAAAACAAAACTTAAAAAAAACACAAACACTATGTAGCTCAAAATGTGGCTCTGGAACATGGCAGTTAAAGCGCAGAGAGTTTTGAGTATAGTTCCTCAGTTTTGTTAAGCCAGGTTTAAAGAGTTTTAAAAATACATATACAGTGGTATGAAGCATCACACAGCAACACTATCACACCCCCAAAGTGCTGTGAGACAAGACGCTAATAATTAAAAAGGATCACTTTTAGAATGCTGCATATCGTTCTGTGGGTGTCCTTAGAAAACAGGCTACTTGCTATTCACAACTTTAAGACAAATGCACTAAATCAGGCACGGTAAGTTACAGTGGAGTTAAAAAACAAACCAAAAATATGATATGCATAAAATTTAAAAGCCAAAAGCCAACAATAAAAAAAAAATAAATAAAAAATTACTTTTAATATATCAATAATAGAAACATTTATACCGCACTGCCAGAATGCTGCGTTGCAATATTCAATATGTGCACAAGCAAACATGATACATAAACAGCCGTCACTTACCTGATTTTTGTCAGGATGTAATTTCAGTGCAAGTTTTTTAAAAGCCTGTCTGATTTCCCTACTGCTGGCTTCTTTTGACACGCCAAGTAAATTATAGTAGTCCTGGTCAGAGCAAACTAGTATGGCCAGAGTTATCAAAATGAAACACAAAATAGTTTTTTTTAATAAACCACTTCTGGAAACCATGGCGTTGCTCTCCATGATTAGCTTGAATAAAAGGCCGGTGAACTAAATGAAATAAATGCTTTGGCAATCTTCAGGTGATTAGCTTAGTTCATCTTTCTGCTGTCTCTCACACCATGTATAGCCCGTTTAGGTAAATCTGTAAGTAAAGAAAAGTAAATAAATTATTTATTTAAATTCTAGAGTAAATGAACACTATAGTGTTAAGAATACAAACTTATATCCTTAAAGGGACACTATAGTCACCAAAATAAGTTTATCTTAATGAAGCAGTTTTGGTGTATAGATCATGCCCCTGCAGTCTCACTGCTTAATTCTCTGCCATTTAGGAGTAAAATCCTTTTGTTTCTGTTAGTGCAGCCCTAGTCACACCGCCCCTGACTGTGACTGACACAGCCTGCATGAAAACAAAATGGTTTCATTTTCAAATCAGATGAAACTTACTTTAAAAGAATGCATCTACTGCTCTCTAAATTGAACTTTAATGGCATACAATAGGCTTCTGTAGGATCTAGCAGCTAACAACAGTGCAGGAGGTAAGAAAATCTAAATTAAACAGAATTTGCAATAAAGTAAGTGTAAACATTAGATGACTCTTAAAATGAAGTGTTTAGGAAGGCTGTCTTAATCACATGCCAGGTGGTGTGCCTAGGGCTGTATTAAAAAATAAATAAAAATAAAAACATTTTAGCTCCTAAGTGGCAGAGAATTGAACAGTGAAACTGCAAGGGCATGATCTATACACCAAAGCGGTTTCATTAAGCTCAAGTTGTTCTGGTGACTATATTGTCCCTTTAATGCTTTTGTGCCCCATTTCTAGTTTTATACAGTCCTCCTCCCCTCCCCCCGAAATAAAAGTTAGAGCAATGGTACAGTCCAATCCAATACTTGTCATAGAGGAGCATTGGGGACCTAATGCACATGCGCTCTGAGTGCCACATGTCCATCCAATGCTTCCCATTGAATCCAACTGCTTCCTATGACCTCTAGCGGCTCTCAGGAAAACAGCCACTTGTGGTAGATTTAACTCTGAAATGTAAACATTGCAGTATCTAAACATTTTATATTCCAGGGTTAAAATGACAAGATTACTGCACCCATACTACTTCACTGAGATTAAGTATTTTGAGATAGTTTGGCATCCCTTAATATACATATACCCACACAAAGTGCATTAGACAAAGAACATGGAAGTGACATAAAATCCAATATTGCAATATTTTGCCACAGATAGTTTACATGAAAAGGTTAGCTAGATAAAATCCAGCTTAAAAAAATACAATTGCATGTATGTATGTATGTATGTATGTATATATATGTATATATATATATATATATATATATATATATATATATAAAAAAAAATAGAAAAAACCCTGCACTCACGCTTAATTTTTCCCAACACCGGGTACATACGTCAGAGCTCCAATAGACACAAATCGCAAAAAGAAGTGGCTGCTCACCGGACTTAAAAACCCCCAAAATTTTATTGAATAATGTTAAAAATCGACCAATTCGGTTGATTTTTAACATTATTCAATAATTTTTTTTGTTTTTTTAAGTCCAGTGAGCAGCCACTTCTTTTTGAGATATATATATTTTTTTTAACCATTACTAAACACATGGATTGTACGTTACACCAATATTGGAGAAATGAGAGGGCCACCTTAAAAACATTGTGTCTAATTTGGAAACCAGACAGACATTTTTAGCATACAGGCATGGGAGCATTGCGTGGGGGGCGGGTGTTTTACAATATCTGTTAATGCAAATAAAAAGGAAAATTCTTCCCCTATGGTAAGTGGGTTCTATAGCAATGAATCTTTATCCCAAGCCTCTCATTAACTCACCTACGCAGAATGAATTGTCAGAAAGGCCTGATGTAAACAAAAACACCATGGCTAAAAGGCAACTGAATGTCTAATTTACACACTCCTACTCAGAATGCCTAGCTACAGAGTATACACTGCATTCTAACAAATTCTCTGGGAAAGCAAAGTCTGTGAACTTGTCTGGGATGTGTAATTCTGCTGAACAAGGCTCTACAAATCTTTTCTACAGGTTTAGGCAACAACCATAAAACGCGAATAACTATGATCACCTGGATTCTGTAGTAATAAAATCATTAAACTCATCAATAAAGCAGCTTTCTTGTCTGAAACGTGTAGCAATGCATTACTGGCCAGTGCCTTGGGTGTTCTACAAATTGCAGATCTGTTCCCTGCCCAAATAATACTGTGTGTATCTGATCCAATCTGGAAAATGTGCTATGGAAAGGATTATTACAAGAGAGTTAAAATCAGAGATCAGTTAACAAAACTAGACATACAGGAAACTCAGGATTTTAAATAAATTTGTGTGTTATCAATGCAGCTTTACATTCCAGGCCTTTGCCAGAGTAAGTACAATTTGTATTCAACTGCACAGTGTACACTGGGCTTAAAAAAATCCAAAACACAATGTGATGAAGGTGGCTAATAAATTCTGAAAAATATATAAGCTCTAATTTTAGAAAAAATATAGTGATAAAAATGACTGGGTGACAACTCTTTAAATACCAAAGTAGACCGAGCTGCCTGCTTTTATAAGCTTTGAAAGTGACAGTTCCTCATTCCCATAAATATTCTATTAAAGCACTGATGTGAGGAGTGCAGTAGAGGCAAGTCTAATACTGTGAGAATTGTGGCAGCAGTATTGGTACATGATGCTCAATAAATGTGACGAGACACATTGTGGGCATACATCTGAATACTTATATCTCAATATTACGTTCCAGCAATCGAAGTTAAGGCAGTGATAGTTGCCAAGCGACTAATCCAGCCCAGTAATACATGTAACACGAAGAAGTGCACTCACTGGTCTCTTTTCATATAAATTCAGTGATCAAGGTTTCAGTCCAACAAACTGGACTTTCATCAGGAGTTAAGTTAAACTCATTCATTACGCAACTGAGCTGCCAAGGCCATATTAGAATGTCAAACAAGTATAACGGGTATTACTAAAGAACAGTGGGAAAACAATGACAATCCCTCCAAACACTATGTTTGAATGTAGCAGGTTTGTAGAACTCTCTTTCATATAAATTCAGTGGACACCCCTAAATATGAATGGATTCCTGCAGCAAAAACAAAGTCTGCCTCATATTGAAATATATTGGTACAGTATATGAATATTTTGTATCAGCAAGGAAACAGATGATTTCACCATCTTCAGTTACAGTTTCAAAGCATGTTATGATTTAAGTTTTCATACAATGCTTTAAAGTCTTATACCTTCAAAAACGTATTCCTTGGGTATACATTTGGACAGGACAGTGTATAGATTTGCCAACTACACTGATGTAACTATTTAAAATCATTAAATTATCTGTATACAATACCAACTATCTGCATAAAATACCAACCAGCCCCCTAGTTTAGACAACTAGCTAATACAGACATGATGTATTTTATTGTTAATAGAGTACACACACAGATCTCACTCTAAAAGCAAGGATTATATACATTTTGTAAACAAACAGGACAGCTAGAATGGGTGTTTTATGTAATAAACGGTATTCACCAAGGAGCCACCACAGGAATGCAACTAGTTTCCAGTGAATTGATGATGACAGTGTCCCTGGAGGACATGAATCAGTTCTGTACCGCAATGCACACCCCGTCCAGTGTTCATACAGTCACTGTATACAGAAGCAGAAAGAATGGGTAAGTCTCTTACCTGCACATAGTGATCACCAACCGGCATAGCAGCGTGTGATAAACCGGAAGTGCACAGAACGCAGCAGGATGACGACTAGGGCGGCGATGCGGAGGACATTCCTACTTCTGGCTAGCTATGCCAGTCCGCGCAAAGGATTCTGGGGGAATGGGCGTTACTTGCTGTCTTGGCGCTGAAGGATAGGCTGCAGCTGGCTGCTGAGATGGGAGAGGACCGCAGCGTTCTAGAATCTGCAAGATACAATGTGAACGCGTTTCGAACGCCCGAGTATTAGTCTATTGGCCAAACTTGGCATTTCAGTGAATCACAAACCGAGCTGCAACATGCGGGCTATATAGCCAGAGCCTGGTTGTCTGGGGGGCTTGGAGTTTACAGTCCTGCTTTCAATTCATTATAGCTCACAGTTTAGGGAAAAAATCTCTCTGTGTAAAAAAAGACCAAACATGGGTCATGATAAAAGTGTCTCCTCTTTGTAAAAATACAAATGGAAGCAGCAAATATGTAAAATAAAATAACCTTTACTTGGCATGAAAGAAATGCGTGTAATATTTATATACAGTAGTCTAAAAAGGAAATGAGGCGGGGTAAAAAGGAAATTGTGTGGATTAAAATGGGGTGGGGTAAAAAAAAATAGGGTGTACTAAAATGAGATGGGTTAAAAAGTTGGGTGTGTTAAAGTGGGGTAAAAATAAATGGGGTGGGGGAAAAAGAAATTGTGTGTATTAAAATGGGGTGTAGTTAAAAAAAGAAATGGGGTGTATTAAAATGGGATGGGCTTGATATATATTTCACCATTAAGAAAAAAGGTTGCAATACGCTATTTGGGGCTATTTAATCTTCAATAAAAAGTTGTCCCTTTGTTTTATATTTTGTGATTCAGCTCTTTGCTGACTGAGCATCATGAGCCAGGCAGTTCACAACACGCGCTGTGCTATGAGCCATCACTGTTTGTAAGAATACATTGTGCTGACCCTCCTTGGTCAAACAATGCTCAGTATTTCTTCCTGCAGGTCGGCTTGTTACAGTGACTGTGGCTGACGTGGCCTGCAGGATGCTTTCACTAAATCCGGGAGGTGGGGAGTCTGCTCGTTTAACAAGTGATTTTGTTTTAGAGCTGTGATCAGTAGACCGTGATAATGTGAGGCTTCCAGAAATGTTTTCAGACATTTTCTGAAACATTGCCTTGCTTCCCTAAACAAGAAAAATAATATAAATAAAGCACTATACTGGATGAGAGATTTATTTATTTGTTAGGGGTGTATAAACTTAACAACAAATTGTAGTAAATTTTAAATCTCCTTCCAAATTTAGGCAACAATAGCTGATTTAGAAAAAGCATTCTCCATCACCGCTTTAGAGGTTCTGCAATAAACCACAAATTATAGTAAATTGAGAAACAAAATACTGTATATTCCTCAGTGACAGTATGGTTATTTTTTTTTCTAAAACGTGGCATTCATTTCTTTATTTACTAAACTATCAAGTCACAGTTTGGTTATTTTACCCAAAAGTTTCCAATTTGGTTTCAATTCAGTAAAATTCAATGATTATTCATTAAACATCAAATATTGGTGAACAGTAAACCAAATGATAAAATCTGCGTAAAAAGTTCTGGTTTAAAATAAATAAATAATTAATTAAATCGAAAAATCTCTCTTGCAGCAATTGTCACGAGTGGTAGTGTAGTTAAAATTTTTCCAATTCATTATTCAATTCACTGCCGTTTAATGTTGAGCGAATAAACCCCTATTCACTTGGCAAGAAGATAGATGTTTGCTTCATTTTAATCATGCTTCAACTGTTATTATTGTTTTTATTAATCACATAAAGCCTACTTTATAGAGTAAATATTACAATAAGAAGATTACGTGTTCAGCAGAGGGTTGTAAGGTACACTCTCTCTCGGATATCTGCAACTATATTATTAAAGGGACACTCCAGGCGCCCAGACCACTTCTGCTCATTGGAGTGGTCTGGGTGCCAACTCCCATCACCTGTAATCCTGCAAATGTAATTAAACTACGCTGGATGCAAGTGTTTTAAACTACGCCGGATGACCTCACGCTATGCACGAAGACCTCCAGCGTCGCCAGAATAATGTTTTCCTACGGGGTGATCTAATCAGGGCTGGCCATAATGGTGTGCGAGCTGTGCGGGCGCACAGGGCGCCATGGACCAGGGGGCGTCCTGTGGCCGACACGGCTCGCACATGGCCGGGTGACAGGGGAGCTAAAGCAGGTACCCTGGTGGAGGATTTCATTATTCTCCACCCGGCTCTATTTAAAAAAAAATATATATCGAGGCGGCGGGGCTTATTGCGAGGCGGAGGTGGGGCTAATACCTACCCGAAGCTGCACAGGAAGAAGGAAGGAGTCCTTGCATCCCCAACAACCAACTGCATCCACTGGAAAGAGGTAATTGTGTGTGTGACTGTTTGCCTGTTTGTGTGACTGCCTGTCTGTGTGTGTGACTGCCTGCCTGTATGTGTGTGTGACTGTGTGACTGCCTGCCTGTGTGTGCGACACTGTCTGACTGTGTGTGTCTGCCTGTGTGTGTGACTGTCTGTGTGTGTGACTGACTGCCTGCCTGTGTTTGTGTGTATGTGTGTGTGTGACTGTCTGCCTGCCTGTGTGTGTGACTGACTGCCTGCCTGTGTATGTGTGTCTGCCTGCCTATGTGTGTGTGACTGTCTGTCGGACTGTCTGTCTGCCTGCCTGTGTGTGTGACTGCCTGTGTGTGTGACTGTCTGTCTGTGTGGCTGCCTGCCTGTATGTGACTGTGTGTGTGTGTGACTGTGACTGTTTGCCACTTTGTGTGACTGTGTGTGTGTGTGTGTGACTGTCTGTCTGCCTGTGTGTGTGACTGTCTGACTGCCTGTGTGTCTGACTGCCTGTTTGTGTGTCTCTGTCTGACTGCCTGCCTGTGTGTGTATGTGACTGTCTTCCTGCCTGTGTGTGTGACTGTCTGTGTGACTGCCTGCATGTGTGTGTGTAATGGTCTGCCTGCCTGTGTGTGTGACTGTCTGTCTGTGTGACTGCCTGTGTGTGTGACTGTCTGCCTGTGTGTGTGTGTGTCTGCCTGCCTGTGTGTGTGTGACTGCCTGCCTGTGTGTGTGTGACTGTCTGTGTGTATGTGTGTGACTGCCTGCTTGTGTGTGTGACTATCTGTGTGTGTGACTGTCTGCGTGTGTGACTGTTTGCCTGCCTGCGTGTGTGTGTGACTGTCTGACTGTGTGTGACTCCAATTGTGTGTGTCGCTGTAGCTGTGCCGTTGCGTGTGCCTGTATGTGTGACTATCTGCCTTTAACTGAGTGTGTGTGCCTATCAGCGTGCGTGAGTGCCTGCATGCCTGTAACCGAGTGTGTATGACTGTCTGCTTGCAATGGAGTATGAATGACTGTCTGCTTGGGACTGTGTGCCTGTAACTGTTCATGATTGTGTGCCTGTAACTGTGTGTGACTCTCTGCCTTTAACTGTGTGTTTGGCTCTGTGACTGTCTGCCTCTCACTGAGCATGTGTGACTGTCTGTTTGTAACTGTTTGCGTGACTGTCTGCCTGTGCGTGTGACTGTGTACAGGCAACTTGGTGGGGGGGGGGCGCCGTGAAGACTTTTCGCACAGGGCGCCTAATTGCCTAAGGCCAGCCCTGGGTCTAATGCGCATTAGGTCTCCCCGTTGGCTGATGTCGGCGGGAGAGGGGTGTGGGCAGAGCCTGACCCAGTGCCGAGGGACATCGGCGCTGGGTTAAGGTAAGTCACTGAAGGAGTTTTAAGCCCTTCAGCAACATAGGTTGGGGGTGGGAGGGAGGGGGCACTTCAGGAACCTGCAGTGCCAAGAAAACAGATTTTAAGCAATTACTGGCTCTTTAATCTAAGCACATTTTTAATCTTTATTTTCTGTTATTAATGTAATGATTTTATTCTGATGATAAATCTTCGGAATTCCTTATAAATAATTTATGTATTTAGTTCACTTGTTCGTGGCTTTTTACATGATGTCATTACAGCCTAAACTAGAAACATTAAAAAAATTGAAGATATTTTACTTCATTTATATTTTCCTGAAAAGCAAGATTATCATATTTCATACACACATTAAACTATTCACAGGCAATGCTTTAAAGATGTTTATCTAGTTTGTTTACATGGTTTCAAAAGAGGAAGCTGTTATTTTAAAATCGACATGTTCAAATATGAGAAAAGGTGTTCCTATTCCACCTGTACATCTCATAGTAAAATTCTGATCTATATATCATCCACACAAAATTGCATCAATGAAAATGTAATTTTATTACATGATCGGAGGCTTCCTATTTTGCATTAACTCTCTTTACGAACTCCACAGCAGCAAAGAATGTATAACAGGAACCAATCAAAATGAAATAGGAGGTAAGGAATCCACAGTGAATAGGCTCCTCCTCCTTTTTCTTTGCTGTTCCATCAACAGACAGGTCAGAGTTTTTGGCTCGTCTCTGTGTTTTTAGTACATAGTCTTTTACCCATGTCTTCTACTTAATTTTGTTTTCCTATTTGTTCCTATATCTTTATGACACCCTATTTACTACAATTTGCTGTTCTTTAGCCTTATTTTGTATTGGTGTATTATTTTGTATTACACCCCCCCTTTTCTTTCCCCGACTGTCGCGGGTCTGGAGCCACCCAGAACCCGGCGGTAGTCCCTTACCACTAGGGCAGATTGTTTCTACCTGGAACTGCTCCCTCACAGCCTCCCAGCTGCGCGCATCCACACTCCCGCCGATAGCCGGTTTGGTTCGTCACGATCTATCAGTGACGGCGGCCATCTTGGATATCGAGTCTCGCGAGATTTGCAGCCGCCATTTTAGGAGTTTCGCGAGGGCTGGATTTTCTCCCTTAGAAAAGACGACTCGTGGGGGTCGGATACTAAACCACTTCACGCAGGGGGTCTAGATTCCTTCATGGATGACACTCAGGCGACTGAGGATGCAGAACGCCCACTGGAAGAGGGTGATACCATACTGGACCCGACGGGCCAGAAACTTTTTGATCCGCGGAACATCAAACACCTTCGCTCAGGGGACAAAACTCCCCCAGAGCACTTGGCAAAATGTATGCACCTATGGCTACGCAAACCGCTAGACAAGGTGGTTCGTAACCGACTTAAGTTGGAATGCCCATGCCCTTCCCTACTGGGACAGGTTGCCGAAACACCTGAATTCGACCAGGTCATGACAACCTTCATGACAAGAGGTGGTCGCGACCCCCATAAAGGGGTGGAGAGGGGATTCAGAGGGGCTCAGGAAAATTATTGGATGCCACCGGACCCCTCTCTTGAATCATGTACCAGGTGGACAACGCCTTCCCGAGGGCTGATCAATTTGATACCAGCACAGTCAGGGAACCAGCACAGTCAGGGAATGGGCGCAAAGGATTTTCTGCTTTCTGGGAAATGATAACGTTGCCCTCTCGTCCGAGAGACGCAAAGCAGCACTACTTCGCATAGACGGAATGCTGGTGGAATAGGGCACCAAAGAGCTTGGACCTCTGGCACAGGGCAAACTAATTTGGGAAGCTTTCAGACATGTT